GTGTATTCATTGCATCATAACCATATGATCCATTAAGTGAAATCTTGCAAAATAAACTTTTTCCTTTATTTCCTTCTAATTCAGCCTTTTGTCTTTCGTTCATAAATTTGTTCGCAAATTCATTAAAACAAGTGTTTTTCGTAAATGTTAAAATTGATTGAATATCATCGATGATAAAATTAAACCTGTCGATTAGATACCAAAGATAATAAGAAGAAAATGGTTGATATTGGTTGTGTGTTGATGCTAACTGAGTTAATTTTCTCTGTTTCTGGTCAACTGGTAAATTGTTTGATTTCATGTAATTATACATAAAACCACCAATTGTTTTTTCATCTGTGATAATATCTAAGTTTCTTATTATCGGTAAAAAGTTTATGTAATCATTAATGTATTTTTCATCAATGTGACCCTTTACTTCAGCCACGAATAAAGTATTTTTCTTCTTAATTATTCCCAGTGCTTTTGCTTTCTTTGTTGCTGTATCACAAATGATAACACCATTCAATCTTCCCGGCATATACATTTTATGGTCAGTATATTGAATGAAATCATGAGGATTAGATGAAAATGATGAAGGATATAATGAATTAAAATCAACACCAACGAAATGAGTCATAATGTTGGTGGTGTCCTCATTTGATACAGTTTTAGTTTCTGGACTATATGAAAGTTTATTAATGTGCGTGATTCCTTTAAGATTTACTCTATGTTGAACATTTGATAGACCACCAGTAATTCCATTACGGAGAATGTGATAAGCTTCAACTGAATCTAAAGTCATTGGTAAATTATTTTTTAATGCATAATTTCTTAAATTGATTCTTAAACGTTGAACATCTTCATCTTTATTTGATTTTACGACATTGCAATAACAACACATTAACTGACAATTTTCTTTGGTATGTGGTTTTTCATTATCGATTCTATCCAATGTTGGTTTATTTGCATATGTAAACGCTTTACCACACATTTTGCATTTAGATGAAAGGATTAAATCGTGATAGTATTGAAAATCATCCATTGAAACATTATTTTTAGTATCCCTTTCTGCTTTTTCATCTTGTTTCTTATATGATTCAATTTTATATTTCCAATACTTTTTCGTTAATTCAAAACTTGATTCTATCTCTTCCTCAGGATATTTTTCATTAGGATTAAAGTCTTTATATGCTAAAGCGTAACGAATCATTGAAGCATTCGATGATAAAGAAAGATTATGAAGCATATCAATTTTATAAACAAATGTTTCTTCAATAATTTTATCGATTGGGTTAATCATAATTTCAACATCTTTATTGCAATAATGAATAAAATATTCTAATCTATTCTTAAAAATTTTAGCATCATTGAGATATATTTGATAATCACTATCTGATATAGTTTCTTGGTTAATGCTGAATAAAATGAATCTTTCGTGAATGGTTCCTCTTTATATAATTCTTCTTCGTAATTTTCCCACGTGATGAATTGATAAGGGAAAAAGGATTTAACACGTGATTTATTGTTTCCGAAATCTTGAGTGAATTGGTCTAATGTCCCACCCGCTATATAATTTCTGATGTCAATAAATCTCAATTCATATGGAACGTTTGTTTTCTTTACAATGATTTGCTTAAATTGTGAAGATGAACCCAGCATTGATTTTATTTTCCATTTTGCAGTATTTAAATCACGAAGAATTAAATTTAAATCAAACTTTCCCGAATTAAAACCTATGATATTCACTTTATTGAATTCCTCATCTAGAAGTTCTTTAAATGCTTCCTTCTGTGTTTCATTTAATGTTTGCGACTTCAATAATTCATTGTATTGACTCATATTTGATTCAACAACTAATGAACAGGTTGAAAATAAAAACTCAATCCAATCAGAAATAAAAGAATCACTCGAAGTTAAGCAAAAATTCCTCGTGTATGTTTTATCATTTAATTTAACCGTTGATGATACCATGAATGGTTTTAAGTAAGCGTTCAAAGTTGCACACTCAGAAAGTTGTAATTCTTCTTTAGTCTCTAATGTTTCAAAGTCAAAAGTAATATAATATCTTGTCGGTTTATAATATTTCTGCAAATTGTGAGCTAATAACCACTGATATATCTTCTGTTTCGTAATATGTGGTGCATATGGTTGCTGTGTCTTTTGCAACTGAACGTCTTGAATTAATCTCCATTATTTTCTTTACATTTCTCACAATGCTTTAAAAATCTTCTTTGGTTTTTCCTTTCTGGATCATCACGGATAGAATAAACTTCTTCTTTACAATATGGACAAACTTTATAGCCGGTGAGTGCTTCAACGTCTGTTATTCTGTCAGCGTGAAGTTTTCCACATGGACTCTGTGTTAATAAAATATTTACTGTTTCAAATTCTGGATCTATCATTATTGATTCCACTAATGGAAAGTCTACCTTATTTATGTCCACGTCTTCTGGTTGAGGATCACAATAATAGAAATCAATATTAACATTTAACATTCTCGCTAATCTCTCACTTTCTGTTGAAATGTCAAACCCTTCATATGCATCTATTGCTTCATTTAAATAGCTTCTACGAGTTTTAGGATTAACACCATCAGGAATGTTATAGAAGCGTTTAAATAACCTTCTACCTTCTGCTCTAATTTGATTATCATTCATTTTAGCTGTTCCGTTTTTGTTCATTTATGTAAGAATAAAAAATTAAAAAATAAATAAAAATAAAGTTTATTTTTTAAAGCCCATAAAATGAATTAAGAACACATAAATTTTTATCATCTGCGACGTGACGAATACATTTAATTTACTCAAGAATGCGTACCCTGATACATTAAATCTAATTCCTGTCTTATTTAATTTCACAACTTTGAAAAGGAATGTATGAATAGTTATAAAATGATGAGAAGATGTTTTATGGGTTGCTTCCATTTTTTCTGAAATAAATGAATAAATATAATGTTTATAAGTTTTCATATCTTTATATTCTTAATAACGAATGGTATAGACCTTTCAACTTCGTCTTCCTTCGGTGCTGTTCTTTCATATGAAACATTATTAGTATCTTCAACAATGAAACCGCAATCACATAAAATTTTATATGTTCCAATGGTTTCTTTTGATATTTTATCTAATAAATCAAAAACTTTATCAACACCTGTGCATTTATTTAAATAATAATTTGTGTAAATATCATGATCTTCTTTCTTAATCGTATTAGTTGCATATGTCACGTTTTTAAGAGCTTTTTTGAATTTCTCGGAATCTAAAGGTGGTGAAAGTAGGATACAGGGGTATTCTTCATTATCGATAAATTGTAACTTATGTTTACGAATAAATTTAGTACCTTCTTCTGAAAGTGTTTCGTCTATTTCACCATCTAATAAATTTTGTGTTGATTCTGAGACATAATTTTTATATCTTTCTTCATGAGATTTCTGTACTTCTGATTCTGAAGCTGGGATATTCATTAAACCCTCTACTTCATTTTCATTATATTTTTCAACTTCTCTTAATTCCTTAATTTTTTCATCTATTTCATCTATTATTTTTTCCAGTCTTTCAATTTCATCGTATTCATCATCTTTAATCCGTTCTTCATAATATTCAGGGAAAACATCAGGTTCTTTAGGTTTTTCTTCTTCAGATGTAGGATATAAGAAATTTATAACATCATCTTTATTCATTTTTTCATCATAATCTAAATCATTTAATAACTCGGCAAATTTTTGACAATTTCTTAAATAATATTTATCAACTTCATAACCCACCTCCTCTAATATATCCTTTATTTCCTCGTTTGTGAATCCTAATTTTTTAACGTTGTTAGTTTTGACGCTCATTTCATACAAAATAAAAAAATAAAATAATAAACATAACTAAGTTTTAATTTTTCGTAAGACATGAATTTTTAAAGTTTATTTTTTAAAAAATTTTATTTTTTATTTCATTATGTATGGGCTGAGTGTAAATGTCTTACAATTTTGAAATTTTTTTTAAATCTTGATTTATTCAAAAACGTAAGAATAAAAACCGTAAGAATCATACATTTTTTACTTCATATGTTAAAAAAATGATACAAAATCGCTCGATATTGTATGAATTCTTACGTTTACAAAAAAAGTCACAAAACCCGTCCACATATACTACTACAAATTAATTGAAATTCCGATCAAAAAAAATTCACAAATTGGATCAAAAAAATCGAATCTCAAGTTAAAAATAAAAAATTTCTACATTTGTATCAAATTTAGATTTTTTTTCAAATCATGCGAATTGATTGGATAATTGCATATTTTATCCCATGCATCTAGAAGTATGTGTAATATTTTTGCTTTCATCAAGAAATTGTCGAATTTGATCTTAATTTTTTTTGAAAAATATACTTTTAGAAAAAGAAATAGTGATTGAATAGCTGCCCATGCTGTAAAAGGGTTATTTTTACAAGTAAAAAAATTGTTATTTTTCGAGCAAGTCGAGGCTTTTTTACCATCTTATTTTTGAAAAATTTACGAAAAATTATATCTGAAAAAACGCTTCATTTTGATATCTTACAATGATAAAATACCAATGTTGCTGGGATATAATAGCTACACCTGGACATCTACTACATTAATGCGTATGACAGGTAAAGTTGATTTCAAAAGTATAGCCTGGAAAGATTACAATAAATCAACGATAATTCAAAAAAATTTCTTATAAGTTAACATAATAAAAATTTAATTTTTATATTGCTTGTATTATACTTAAGTATATAATATATTTAAATCTTAGAATGAAAATTCGGGACGCCCTAGCTATTCAATTTTCCCTTAGGACGCCCATAAACCTCTCATTGGAATCTTAATTCAAAATGCACCATTAACACTTAATTTACAAAGAGATCTCACTATCAATTTAAAATAGCATCGTTCAGTAATTTATCCTTGCTAAAACTATTAAGCCAAAGACAACAATGACGAGCAATGTCCGAAGACAGTAATTAAATATCATATTTAATTATTGTAATAAATTTAGAAATTTGGTTTATTCAAGAATAATCTTGTTATAATATTCAGTATCAACTGGCTCAAGCCACTCTGTTGATGTATTTTGGGCATATGGTTGAACAGAGATATGGGAAAACCATGTATCTTTTCTTGCACCATGCCAATGCTTGACTTCTGGTGGAATATCAACTACATCACCTGGCTTAAGCGGAATAGCTTTCTTACCTTCCTCTTGGTACCATCCAAATCCACTTGTGCAGAGTAATGTCTGTGGGGCACCGTGATGAATATGCCAATTGTTTCTGCATCCAGGTTCGAATGTAACATTGTAAATGGCTGCTCCTTGAGTAGAAAGTGTGCTTAGGTAGCTTTGGCCGATGAAATATTTAGCGTAATCATCGTTTGTTTTTCCCAAATCGAATTGACCCAGGTATGGTCTTTCGCGCTTTGAAGCTCCCTTTGGTGTATATCTGATCCAAAGACCACCAGCACCAATTTTATCTACCGCTTTAAGTTCAAATTCAACTGGAGATCCCTTTGGAAAATATGGGGATTTTTCGAAAAGTGTTATGGTATCATTACTTCCATCAGCAGCTGCAGTGAGACATATGGAAAGCTCATCAACAATACCTGCATTGAGGAATGACCAGTTAATGATACCGCCACCTTCAACGGCCAAGACGTTGATGTTGAATTTTTCTTTTAATTTCATTACAAGTAATTTCCAATCCAACTGTTCTTTTCCTGCAACAATATAGGAAATCTGGTGCTTTCTGAGATAATTCTTGTATTGTGGTGTTGCTTTTTCAGTTAAAGCTTCAATGATATGTGCTGGAGGACGAACATCATATTGAAGTGTGTTTTTCTGCCATGCAAGTTTCCCTGATGGATCGGCAGCAACAACATATAATTCAGCATTTGGTTCAACTACAAAATCACCTTCTGGAACATCAGTATCATTGGGATTTAATTCAGGAACAGCATAATTTGTAAAGTTTTCATCAAATGTTATGCGTCCACAAATCCATGCATTAGGCTTGTAAGAAGCATTTGTCCATTCATAATCTTGACTAACTTTATCAGCTGCTTCTGTATCAAAGAATGGACCAGTAATCTTACCATCCAAGGAAGTCATCATGTGTATAACAATAAAATGTCTTTCCTCAGTCATTGTAGAAAAATGAAATTAAAAAATTCAGAAAATTGAAATTTTACAGATGTGAATTCACACCTCTATCAACCAACGTATATCTATACTTGCAAAAATGCTATTAAAATTATTACATATATAAATAAATTATTATAATTGCAGTGAAAATGAAATTCATGATATTATCTCAAATTACGATATTTTTGAATTGTTTTATTCAAAATTTGATATTAATTCAATTTTCAATAATTTACCTCATGGTTCCGATAATTCAAATCTTTGACCATGCCCAAAATTAAATCATTCATTAGAATCCAATACTATAAAAAGCAATACTTATATATACTCCATGATGATAAAGGATACAATGATGAATGATATCAATAATTATATCATGGAAAATTAATATCAAGCTAAAATGTTTATATTTAATAGCAATCATGATATAGCTATTTGATATCATTGATAAAAAATTATTAAATATAGATAATAGTAGTTTTTATATCAAATACATATTTATTTCAAACAATAAATTAATAATACAAAAAAATTATAATTTCATAATCAGAATGAAGTATCAGGTTTCTTCTTTTCCGCTTTCTTCACAGTTATCTTTCTTTTCTTAATATATTTCGAAGCTTCAACACCTTTCAGTTCCAAAGTATTTGGCCTTGATTGAGATCTAATATTTGCAAGTTTTCTCATTGTTCTCGGTGTTTGCAAAGCTGGTTTATCATCATCCATTCCTCTTGGCGATATCTTCAATGATCTAGATAATGATGTCGAAGATCTTCTTGCACTTTGTGGTTCACTTTTCATTCTTTCCAATTTCTTGACAGCCATTTCCAGAGGTAAAATATTTGCGTCCAATCTCATTGTTGCGGCCAAAGTGAGTTTGTGTCCTAATCTCTGAAGTCCTTCCATTTCTCTTGCATGTCTTTGTTCCAATTGTCTGAGCTGAGCTTTCATACCTAATGTTGCTTTTTCCTGAGCTCTTTCTGTTTCTTCTTTTTCTAATCTGTCTGCTTTTTTCTTTGTAAGTTTTGCGTTCTCGAAATCACCACTCAACGCGTAATTCTTTTCTTGTCTTCTTAAGTTTAACAATGTTATTGATGGTTTGTTGTATTGATGGAAAGAAGAAGGATCTTCCCAGAATTTTTCGAATTCATCAAGTTGGGCGTTTTGAATTGCAATTAATTCTTCTTCTTTCTTCTTTTGATGCTTTTCTATCTTCTCAAGAGCTTGAACTTTCTCTTGTTTGGCATCTTCTAGTTCTTGTTTTGCTTCTACAAGGCGATCATCTGTGTTTCTTTCTTCATTTGCTGCATCATCAAAAGATTGTTTCTTTTTAATTGCTGCTTTGAACTTCCTTTGGGCCTCATTCATCTTCTCACCACGTTCGTAGTCTGCTTGTACAATTGCATCTACTCTAACATGTGAGATATGTTGTAAAATCGGATTATACATTTCTGGAGGAGGCAAATTTCCTGTTTTCATGAAGTTTTCTAGGGCTGAATCAAGTTCTGAATCTGTGTAACGCTTCTGGAACTTAAGAATTGGAACAGAAGTCTGTTCTTCATCTTCATTTTCTTTTTGATCATCATTATTTTCTGGCTCGTCTTGCGGCAGGTCTTTTTCCTCTGGTTCTAGCTCTTTCTCTTCTGGTTTTTGTTCTTGTTCTTTTTCTTTATCGGATTCACTGTCAGAACTTGAGGAAGAACTGCTGCTTTTCTTCTCTTTCTCTTTTTCTTCTGTAGATTTTTCGTTTTCATTGTTGCTTTGCTCATTAGCATTCTGATTTTGCGTTTGAACTTCATTGATAATTTGATTTTTAATATTTTCCACCAGTTCTTTAGTAGTTTTGTTTAATTCTGGGTCACTTTGCTCGCTTTCAGTATTATTCTTATCATCGACAAGTGCTTTGCTTGATTCTGTATGAAATGTTTTATTTTCGATTTCTTTTAATTCTTTCTCATCATCACTAGACGACGAAGAAGAGGAACTACTACTAGATGATGATTTCTTAGCAGAAGATTTAAATGAACTTGTGCTGTTTTGATTTGATATTTTTTTACTTTGTGAATTTTTGCTTTGTGATTCTGACGTAAAATCATCAGTTGCTTCGGGTTCTTTCTCTTTTTCAGGAGATGATGCTTTGCTATGAGAGTCTGAAACAAAATCTTCGCCGTTACTTTGAGCTTCTGTTTCTTGCTCTTTTGTTTCGGTATTTTCATGCTCACTTTTGTCCGAATTTTCTTTTTCTGGCTGATTTTGTTGCTCTGGTGTTCCTTGACCGAGATTGAACTTATCTTTGAGAGTCATACCTGCGAGTGATATGTTTCCCTCTTCTGGTTCAGCTGATCCTTCATCCTTGTCAACTTTTGTTTCGAGATTTTCTAAATTTCCAAAGATAGCCTTACCAAGTGAAAGATCCATTGAATTTGAAGAGTATAAAATTTTTTTTGAATAACGGCGAAAAAATTTTTATTCAGATTTTAAAAAGATCAGAATCCTTATTGTGTAAAAATCCAGATTTCAAAATTATTTTCAGAATTTGAATTAAAAGTTTGGTGGAAATCCTCAAAATTTCTGTTTTATACCTTTCGGTTAAGCGATTTAAAAAAAAAAAAAAAAAAAAAAGGTAGTGGGGCCTCCAGGCACTTCGTGCCCTCTAGCCCTGAAGATGTTTAGTATAACTTTGTCCGGACAAGCAAGGGTCTATCGTCGCTACAGGAAAAGTTACAGGCGTTCCAAGGAAGTATACTTTGAGAAGCCTTTTCCCCATTATAGAACGATAGGACAGTTATTTTACAAAACTGACAACACTTTGACCGAGTAGTTTTTTGTGCTGAACAAATAGTGTCATATAAACATCTGTCAAAAACCGCTTTTTAACTTCACTTAAAATGCCACGTAAGCTACGTAAGAATATACGTAAGAGGAAGAGAGCATTGAAACATCCAATAGTAAAACTGACACCACAACAACAGTTGCAACAACAAATGCTGAATGACCCCACTATGTTGCAACAAATGTCAAGCAACCCTATGCTCTTAAACCGAGTTCTTGGTGCACAGAGTGGAGGTTTAAGAGCGGCACTTTTAGCGAAAATGGCAGGCTATGGTGGAGCTGCAGACGGAACAGCCTATAACCCTCAAAGTCAAATGAATTTGAGTTCACTCAAAAATCAAATATCAGATGTCAAAAAGTCAAACATAGACATACAGAAACAAATAAGTGAAAACGAAAAGAAACTAGAATATGACAGACACACAAGAAACTCATGAGTTAAACGTGAGAAAAAGAAGAAAGAAGAACAACTGAAAGAACTAAGTACAGAGGAATATGCGAAAAAAGTGTCAGAAAAAGCAGCAGAAGTAGCAAAAATGGAACAAGATGTTATAAATTTGAAAAAACCATACTACTCAAATATAAGTACTGAAAGATGAAGAAATAAAACAAAAAGCCCTGAAGACATATATGGATAGCGATGTATAAAAAAGAAGTTGAAGCAAATGTAAAGGCAGAAAAACTTTTACAGTTGCAAAACCAAACCGTACAGTATGAAAACTTAGCACAAGAAAGTAAAAATAACGACGCAGCCATGCAAAAGGCAATGAAAAGCGCAGAATATATAAAAGCTAATAATGACTGGTTAGATGCCCAAGCCAACGCTAAAGCAGCCCAACTTATAGGGTCAATAAGGACAAAAATACAAGCGGATGAAGACAGTTCAAATGAGCTTTAACGAATGCTGACTTTAAGAACGCCTTCAAAGCTCTTCATAGTAAGGTGAAACTAGTGAACGACTTCTCATCTGGAAAGAAACTGAAGTCTGAAGGTTTCGACAAAGAGTTAAGAGAAGTAGCACAAAATATGACGAAAATAACAGATGCAGCAACGATACAGGCAGTTCAAAGTGCCTATGACGCCGTTAGAGCAACTGTTGTGGAAAGAAAAAAAGAGTTACAACAGACCAAAACAGACCTAGTAAATGCTTTCTTAAAAACGAAAAGTCAGGTAGGACATTATGCTGCAGATGGAACATATGTGCCAGCTGGTGGAACTTATATACCAGCTGGTGGAACTTAATATACTAGCTAGTGGAACTTATATACCACCAAACCCTCCAAGAGAAGCACCTGCACCAGGACTACCTAAAACATTTACATCGTCACATGGACACAGACACAGGCATGCACCAAAACCAACACACACAACCAACAACAGTTCAAAATCCAGCACAACAACCAACACAACAACCAACAGTTCAAAATCGCACAACAACAACAACCCAGCACAACAACCACCTCCACAACCAGCAGCAACCAACAGTTCAAAACCCTGCACAACAACAACCACAAACAGAGCAAGGACATAAAAGAAGTAGAACAAGGAAACCAAGAATTCTTAAAAATGCTAAAGGAAGATTATGGTTACTCAGATACTCTTGACTTTAGTGACAGATATAAAGAAGCTATTAGAAAGTTCAAGGAAGGAAATACTGACTGACCGAACCTATTTAGCTTTATGGCTCAGCACCAAATGGGATATAATTTCAAACCTGGAAAATACAAGCTCGCTAAGGATATGATTTAATAGCATATCATCCAAATGACATGACTGAATTTACTCCGAGATATTTGGTGTCAGAGCTAAATGATAATTCAACTCTCTTCATGAAACGCGTAAAAAATAGAGACGGAACGAAAGAAGAAAGGTTTATGAGTCCGGATGACTTAGATAGGGAACTTGTTAAAAACGGTCTCGGAATATATGAAATGCCAGCAGATGAGGTACAAGAAACTCCACAGGAAGAAGTTCAGATACAACCAGACATGGAAGAAATAGTTCAGCAACAACAGCTAGAAGAGCCTGAAGGAAACGAACAAGTCCCTCCTTTGGAAACTAACTTCACAGAACTAGATGAAGATTTGGAACAGCCGAAAAATCTTGACCCTCAACAAGAGTATGAGGTGAATATGGAATCTTTCCAAGAGTCTAAGAAAAATTCGGCTGACATAGTAGAAGAATATCGAAAAATGTTTGCCGACATACAAAAGACTCCAACACCAGATGAAAATATTCAGCATAGAATGGAAGTACTGAAAGAAAATGTACGCAAATACAATAACCCTTTTTACTTACGACCATATAACGTTCAATCTTTGGCTGAACTCGTGAAAATAAAAGGTTAAATTTCAACAAAACATATAGAAATGAAACATTGTTTAAAGTTCATTCAGAACCTAACCAATATGGAAACAAACCTACTTTTGTTTCTGCAGACTATGGAACTACAATGAGATGGGGTCATAAAGCTAATCCGGATAGGTGGTTCATAAACTTACAACCTCAATTCCAAGAAGTTGTAGACGCAATGGAAGTGAATGGTGAACCAGATATAGCTGGTATTTTCAGCGCGGCTTTAATGCCATTGAAAGATATGAAAGATGCAGATATTTTGGACCAGTATGAAATGAACATGGCTGATGGAAATATAACACCTGACGTTCTAGAACATTTATCTCAAAGAACTACACAGAACCATAAAGATGGTATATTTGGTGAAGAGTTTAGAAAGAAAGTTAGGGAGACAGAAGGAAGAGAACCTATTGTACATGACCTTGCAAACGAAAGTTTGCAAAATGTCATAAAAACTTACTTTGCAGACAATGAACCGAGAATGGATGAATATTTAAGAAAACTCAAATGGACAGTACCAAATGAAATGTTAGTATTGAAAAACATGTTCCTTGACAAAATAAAACCAACTACAGAAATAAATGACGCAAGACTGAAACATTGGGTAAAAGCTTTCCCATTCACAAAAGATATTATTGGTAACATGGAAAGAAAACCAGAATGGCTACAAAAACATATATTTGGAAACGAGCTTATTCCATATGGACAAGCTCTGTTTGAAGAGCTTGAACCGGAAACTCAGGAAAGAGTCATGCAAACAATACGCGAAGACTCAAATACAAACTATGACAAAATCTTTCTAGGATATAGGTTACCTGAGATGGGCGACCAGAGCCCAAAGGCAAAAAGGACATGGGAAATTTACAACATACTAGGTGAACATGAGGCAAAGATGCAACAACTTAAAGCAGAGGGCAAGTTACCAAAAGCGACACCAAAGAAGAAGAGAAGAGTAGAACAAAGTGAAAGTAGTGAAGAACAAAGTGAAAGTAGTGGCAATGAAGGAAAAAGAAGAGTTAAAAACTCAGCCAGGAAGAAAGTAAAGCTTGGTCCACGTGGGTTCTATTATGACACATAAATCCAACTATTCTATATTTTTACCCATATGAAATGTACGCCGCTCAGAATATAACGCCAACAGTTTTGGATGCCATGAACGGAAATGTTTCCGAATGGTATAACGAATGCGACAATGCCATTAGAAGGTCAGAAATAGTTCCTGGAACTTACGAATATACAACTGCTGTTTCTTATGGAAACGTAGGTGAGTTTGGAGAAGGTTCTTCAACAACAGTAGATATTGCTTGCGACAGGTTTCATATTATTTCTATTGACAACTCATTCTTATACGTGGAACAAGACATTGAAATAAAACCTTCTGCTGACTTGAGAGGTAAGAAAGGTTGCAATGGTATTTTCTATGTCGGATACCAATATGCTCCAGAAGTTTTTCATGGGATATAAGATATATTCTAACTCTGACTTAGTTCAAACAGTAACATGGGCAAACTATGAATGGTTCGCTTTAAGAAACTCAGTACAACCACAAGCTAGAGAACAAACAGACCAGTATGCAACTATTGAGAAATAAGAAGACTTGACCCTAACGTTCCAGGAGTTTATGTTAACCTTTCTGGTTCAGATGGAAATGCTGTCACTAAAGTAAAACTGAAACTTAGAGTTCCTTTGTCATCTTTCCTCATCTTCAGGTTTTTAAGATACTTGCCAAACTGGGCAGGAAAAATTCTATTGAACTTACTCCAAGCAAAATAACTTAGTCATTGCCCACCGCAAGACCCATTCACTCTTACAGACGTAAAGGGAGCAAATCAAACGTCATTCGCCGAATTTTGCAAAGACAAAGTTGACTTAGACTTTGGTTTCTCAAACCTCAACACTGAAGTAAAGTATTATTTCAATGCTGCTGGAACTGCTTGGGACCCAGTTAAGTTCACATGCAAACAGTTTGAATGCAAGAGAATAGAAAGCAGACTTGCAGTCTATATGTTGGACCCAGATATTTCAAATGCTTTAGCTGCCAAATATATTGCAGTTCCACTTATGTTCCCTATACACCAAATATCTGTCAAAGACTTTGCAGGTGAAGTTGGAAACCAAAATCCAGGAACGCAGGTGCAAGAACAGATATTGCTTTAACAACTGCAATGAAACACGCAGATACTATGTTTGTACTGTTCAGACGAACTATAAATGACTATTCTTGTTTCTACAACCCCGGTATTAAATATCATATAAACATAGATGGCAAATATTATCCAAGAGAAGAATATTCTACAGTTGAGGATATGAGGTCATACAACTTGACATTAGATGCTATGAACTTTAACAACAACTTCACAACAACCATAAACCCTGAAATGCAAAGTTCTATTATGCCATATGTGAAAGTATGGACTCATACAGGAGGTCAAAAAACTCAATATACAAATGGAGACCGTTCAAACTTTGGCTTGGCATTCCATTTGCTGACTCAGAAGACTTTATGGGTGGTATTTCAAACTGTTGGTACTGTACAAATACAATATACTGGTGACAGAGACGGTCCAGATGAACTGAGAGCAAAGAAGTTTACAAAAACCAATAGCACTTTTCACGGAAGATGCTCTTTTGAAGATTCGTTCGATGAAACCTGCTGGGGCTCTCAGATTGGCATAACGACAGCTTCCATCGAGCAGATTTTGGCAGCAGGTCAGTAAGTTGTTCTTGAACTGACTTCTCTCCGTCAAATATTGACAGTACGCCAGTTTTGACATAAATATTGTATTATAAACTTTCCTTTAGAAATATCTGTAAGTTTTGAAGTTATATTTTTGTCTGCTTCAAGAACTTTCACCATTTCAGTTATACCAACTTTCTTTGCTTTATGAAAATATTTTGGTTCAGCAAAGACTGCTATTCTATAACATTTTCCATTGTTTGTATAAAGAACTATTCTGTCAATGTATTTGTATTGTTTGTGTGTGTAAACTTTGTTCTGCTTCAATTCGAAGAGATACTCGAATACGTCATCTTTTTATTCTAAGTAAAATGTCATTTCCGAAAAATAGAAGCGTAAGTGTTTTCAAAAGGTTTAATGGCGGTGGCAGATGTGAAGTTAAATTCACCAACTCAAACAAACAGTCAAAGTGTTGTTGTCAATGTCAAAGACAGAGATGTTGAAGTGGGGAAACCATACGAAGACGAAAATGGTATAACAATAGTTCCTGTAAAAGAACAACCAACATACCCTGAAGTTAGCAGAGACTTAAGTTCTGTTGCAGATATTCGAAACGACTACCAACAACTGAAAGACAAACTTCAAACTCAGGAGAAGATTTGTCAAGCTTTAGGTATAATGTTAACTTGGTCGAACACAACCTGTAAAAGTGAACTCATATGTCATCGCACCTCATGAAGTTTTTGAAAGAACTATTGAAACTTTTGACAGAGGCAGACGATATAAACATCAAAGAAATAGAACCCGACGTTAGTTGCTGTGGTGTTTCATATAATGTCATTGACAAGATATACGTTATGAAAGGAGGTGAAACGTTGAACTTAAAATATAGTTTCCCAGACGTTATAAAATATTTGACGACCACAACATTTCATTAAAGTTTATTTGCTAAGTAAAATGGCAGAAGACATAGTGGTTTATACTATTACACTAAAACCTGAGTCATATAATTCTATAACAACAAACTTACAAAGTCCTCAAGGACGGTATTGTAAACTAACTTTAAACAAATGACGACTAAAGCTTGTTTTGCTCTTTTGACACCAGAAGATTTTATTGTTGTGAATGGTAAAAAATACTCCTTTGAAGATACTTACTCAGATATACCACCAACAGGTTTTGTTGACTTATTTAATACTTTAAGGACGAGTGTAACATGTCTGCTGCAACTAGAGCAGGTTTCATTATGTTTGGATGTCCGACTGAGTTTACTATAAACAATATGAGCTATAATACAAAACTTAGATCTGGTTTTTTACTACCAACAGTTTCCTATAACAGGAAAAGGTGTCATACAAGGAATGTCTATTCCATTGACTTTAAGTACACCTATTTATATATTGTTTCAAACTTAGGTTCAAAAGTGTTATTCGAAATGTCGACAGAAACTACTAGACCAAAAGATACTTATGCGTATAAAACACTTTCTCTGCTGGTTTGCCTATTGTTCATTCGAATGCAGAGTTTTCAGCTTTAGTAAACTCAAACACTTTAGCAAACATAAACTTAAACCTTAGTTGACGCAAACTTTGTTCCTGTAAAACTTTTATGTCCTATGTATTTGTCAATGACGGCAGAAAGTTTCGAATTGGAAGATGCAACTGGTGAAAGTATTGTATTACAAGAACAACTTCAACAACAAATAGCTCAAGAACAACAAATGCAACAAATGCAACAACAAATAGCTCAAGAATAAAAAAAAATATTTTTTTATTTTATAAAAAATGTACAGAATAGATGTTCAGATTTTTATGACTTCCAAGCGTTCAGAAATATGTGTCCATTTCGAGACTATAACAAAGCAGTCGAGAATTGAAACGTTTAGTCATTTATGTCGACTCTGCCCCAGAATGTTATGTCATGAAAGAATGGGATGTAGTCTTTAACAAACCTAAAGCGACAATAGTTTCAGAACAAGAATGTAAACAGAAACTTAGAAAATAAAAGTTGTACAAGTTGGCATGAAGATGTTAGATGCTTGGGATATCTTATTGTCAAGTTAGAAGATTTTCAGTTCGTGGTATAAAGTTCTATACACCTTCTCCAAACTTCTATTCTATTTCACTGGATATAAATATGAACAAGTAGAATGGAAAGAAAATATTATAGAAGCTTGGTTAGACCATGTCAAAGAAATTAATATGCAATGGAAACGAAAGAGTCTATGAGTATATCTTATGTTGGTTTGCAAAAATCTTACAACATCCAAGTGCTAAAAATGAAACTGCTCTCATTATAATTGGAAAACAAGGAACAGGTAAGAACACTTTCTTTACAGATATTTTGTGCAAACTGTTAGAAGGTTATCGAACCCGAATATGACAAACTTAGAGAAAACATCTGCGGTAAATTTAACTCTTCAATAGAGAATAGAAACTTATAGTTGCAATGAACTTCAAAGTATAGATATACAAAAGTTTGAACTCAGATGCTTTGAAGAGTCTTATAACAGACAAAGTTGGAGTGTTGAAAGAAAATATAAAGACCAAAGAGTTTGTGAAATGTTGCAAATTTCATTATGGTTTCAAACAATGCTGTTCCGATGAAGTTAGAAAGTTCTGACAAGAAGATATGTAGTTGTCAGAACGTCAGAAGCTCATATGCAAGATACAGAATATTTGACGACTTAGCAGAAACTTTGACATCTGACTTTTACAACCACTTGTTCTCATATTTCATGACATTAGATATTTCTAAGTTCAATCCAAGACAAATTCACATACCGAAGAGAGACAAACATTGTTAGAGCAAACAAAGTGTATATGAACTGTTCAATAGATGAAACTGACTTTGAGTGTTTAGATGAAAGGTCATTGTACGATTCGTATAAACAATATTGTCAAGAGTATGGTTATATGACAGCGTCTAAACGAACATTCTTGGCAAATGTCAAAAGTCTTTTAGACGTACAGAATGGTGTATATACAAAGAAAAATTTTTATGAGTAAATTTTAAAAAAAATATTTTTTTTATCCGATAGAAAAAGATGGCAAAATTCATCTCAGTAAACAAGTACATGTCAGGACTTAAAGAAGAACTAGACCCATTCACATATTTGAATGTTTACTTCTACCATTTTGAAAAGTCTTCATTCAGCAAAGTTTGGAACATCGAACCAGTTAAGTTTGCTATTGTGACTAAAAATGGTGCGAATTTGAAGACTTAGACATAGAAGGTTTGTTAGCAGTCAAAGAAAGTTTTGACAGAAGGTTTTCAAACCTTAAAGAAGGCAAAGCATACAAACTTGTTATACCTTATGAACCAAAGAAAGCAGACGACTATGAATATTATGAGTCTAAAGTTGTAGAAGTTCAAGGTAAATTGGGTAAAAAGATTTTAGAGTCTAAGCCAGTGTTTACTCCTAAAGAGGAAGAGAACATTGACATTGACCCAGAAATGTTCTAAAAATAAAATTTTATTTTTACATGTCAAATTTCTTTTTCTCTGGTTCAGGTTCTTTCTTCTCTTCTTCTACTTTCTTTTCTTTCTTTTCTTTCTTCTTCTTTTCTGGTGGAGTTATGTCAAATTTCTCCGAACCATATTTATGTAAAAGTTCTTTGTCCTTTAATAGCTCATCTATTCTGTTTTCTATTTCATCTTCAAGAACAGCGCATGTGTCTTCTTTGCATTCTAAGAACTTTTGTTGGACTTCATCTTTCCAATCGGTGTCATCTCTGTCAACAAGTCTGTCATTGACAAATTTTAAGACTGCTCTGCTTAATGTTTTATGGTTCTTGTCATATTCCCAGAAACAGAACTTTAGAACAAATTCACCTTTCTTGTTTACACTATGTAAGATTTTATGGTCGACAGATGTTTTGCTGTCGAAAAGCTTGTCTCGAATATAGATAGCGAAATCGCTAGACATTTTCTAAAAGATAAAAATTTTAATTTTTCTAAAAATATGTTAGAAAAAAAGTTTGCTGACATTGACAAGAAATTTGAGAATGTTTTGAAGAAGAACAAGGTGAAATTAGAAAATGCTCAGATAAAACCCATACATGACAAGTTCTTATTTGCTCAGAATGGTATAACAGGTCTAATCGCACCACCTGGGTCGGGTAAGACTTTCACTTATCTTAAAATGGCTGCACAACAACAAGAACTAGATGAGAAGAACCCATTCTATGAGTTAGTTGTTATTTGTAGTACTTCGGGTCAATTTGACCAAACCGTCAATTCGTTCAAAGATATTATAAAGAAGTCTAAGTTAGTATGTATAAAAGACTCTGAGTTGTTAGATTGGATAAAGAAGTACCAAAGAAGAGTTTTGAAGTACAATGCTATAAATGAGTATATAAATTCGAAGTTTAAAGACCCAAATGAGGAAATGCAGAGAATATTAGAGAAGAAACACTTCAGAAACAAACAGAAAGAGATAGAATACATTTCGAAGAAATTGCAATCTTACGATTGGAAGACATACCCTCATAGGTGTCTTCTTATCTTAGACGACTTTGCATCTCATCCTTTGTAAAGAACAGAGAACAAGATATGTGTCGAATTCTTAAGAAGCTCAGACACTTTAACATCTCTGTTGTCATTTGTTACAGACAGCCAAGAGTTTAAGTAAGGATGTAAAGAGAATACTTACTGACATTGACTTTTCCCCGGATTGTCCGAAGACGATTTCATGGAACTTATGAAAGAGTCCATGGCAGGTAAGTTTGACAGACATGAACTATGGGAGAAGTACAAAGTCATACAAGACCCTCATACTTCTTTCAGAATTCACATCTACGCGAACAAAGTTCAAATTGTAAAAAGTCAAGCGTAAAAATGTAAGTGTTTTAGTCTTAGTCTGTTGTGGTGCTGGGGCTGTCGGTTCTTCTGGCTTTGGAAGACATTCAGGAAGAGGAACGTCAGTCATCCGTTTGTGTCCTGTCGGATGGAAGAACTTTTTCTGTCGGATGGAAGGACTTTTCCAGTTGTCGGGAAATTTTTTTCCTGTCCGATGGAAAAATTTTTTCTGTCGTTCGACCAAAAAGTTCTCAATTTTCGAAAATTTGAATGGTTTACGGACGAACAACAGGAAATTTTTTTCCTGTCTGAAGGAAATTTTTTTCCTGTCTGAAGGAAATTTTTTTTCCAGTTGTCGGGAAGAACTTGGAATGTCGGAAGGAAGAACTTGGAATGCCAGAAGGATTTGACAAGACAATTTACCTTATAGAGCTACCTGAGCCATCTGAAGTCAAGCGTAAAAATAAATGGTTCATCTACTCTACTTGTTTGAAGTTGTCAAAATACTCTGTTATTTTTTCTTTCAGTAGCGGTAAGTCTTCTTTGAAGGTAAGTATTGTACAACCTTTAATATCATAGTGTGTTTGAGGTAACGTATCTTGAACTATTTGTTTCACATCTTCATTTGGTGTCATTGAAATCGGTAAGTTTTCGCATAGAACCAATTTCTGTCAGATTTGTAAATCTTAGCAAGGTCGTAAAAGCTTTTGTTGTTTCTTCTGACTAAATGCAACATAACCATATCTCTGTCTTCTTCATTTTCCATCTCTTCAGTATAAATCATATACTTATAGTTCTTTTCCTTTCCTTTTGGTACGAACGTGTATTCTTTTCTGTATGTTTTTTGTCTTTTTGCTTCAATGACTTCATCTTTTGCTTCAATGACTTCATCTTTTGCTTGAAGTTTCTTTTCCATCTCTTCACGTTCTTGTCTATGAATTTCATCTAACATCATGAAAATATAACAAGCATAACGAGGTGAAGCCCACATTGCAACAGCATTTACAAGAAGCCTATGTACATAATATCCTCTCAAACCGTTTGGCAATTTTTCACGATTTTCGTACGGAATCTCGACCCTCGGTTTTCCGAGGGTCGCAAACATATGAGGAAATTCTTCTAAAAGTTCTTTTGTCTGCTGGTTTTCAAACCAATGATATGCTTGCTTTGTAGAACGAAGAGCATTCAAAATACTTTGCATTTGGTACATATCGTCTTTGACCGAACGAATGAGACGGAGTTGTTTGTTATATTGTATGTACTCATATTCTTCATTTATGTCTTCATGAACGATAGCAGTTGTTGTGTTCTCTGTTGTTGACATATCTGTCTTTACATACAAAATAAAAAAATTTGTTAGAAAAAAATTAGCGTTATTTTTTTTAAGTTTGGTCATCCTTCACTATATGACAAATATACTATATTTTACTTAAAAATATGCAAGCGGCTCATAGCTCAGTGGTATGGGCTACCTCGCTACAGGCGTCGAAGACCTCGGTTCAAATCCCGATTCGCGCAGGTTTTTTCCTTTTATGCAGTGAAATTTCATGTACATAGGTTACTTTGGGTTTAGACCCTAGTGAAGAAAATAGAAACGATATAAGTTTACATTTGTAAGGCTACTTTGGTGTTAGACCCTAGTGAAGAAAATAGAACTATATAAGTTTACATTTGTAAGTTGGACGATAAAATTTACTGACTGACGTCGGACATTGTCTTGAAAAAGTAAAAGACTTGTCTTGAAACAATAAAAGACTTGTCTTGAAAAAGTAAAGACTTGTCTTGAAAAAGTAAAAGACTTGTCTTGAAAAAAAAAGACTTGTCTTGAAAAAAGTAAAAGACTTGTCTTGAAAAAGTACGGGTATCGTCTGAAATCAAGACCACTGTTCTCAAATTTGAGAACTTTACACCAAAAAATTTCTTGAAAAAGTAAAAGACTTGTCTTGAAAAAAGTAAAAGACTTGTCTTGAAAAAGTAAAAGACTTGTCTTGAAAAAGTAAAAGACTTGTCTTGAAAAAGTAAAAGACTTGTCTTGAAACAATGACCGACATAGACCCAGCAGATGAGGCAATCTACCTTATAGAGATAAATGAGCTAGTTAGGAACTACCTGAGCCATCTGAAGTCAAGCGTAAAAATAAACGCTTTACATGTATTTTTCAGCAACTTCGTCAAATAATTTTATAGCTTTACCTATCTCATCTACTTCAAACGTTTCTTTACCTTTTATGGGAGCACCATACATTTTCTCAAACTTTTCAAGTAGTTCTGTTTCAGCAGCTCTCATATCGTTAACAAACACAACCTTAACTCTATTGACTATACTGTCATATCTTTGAGTTATATTATATGTTCTTCCTATCTTATATCTCTTTGTATTGAAGTCCTTCGGTTTCTGAACGATGTAAAGTAAGCCTTCACTGCAACGTTCCGTATCGAATGAACCATATGTTATGAAGTTATATCCAACAACTGGGTCTAACCATAACAAAACTATTGGTATAAGACTTTTGTCGATGAGATATGCTGCAGTTCCATAGAATCTTACCGATATCATAAGCTCAGGATTTCTTGTCAAAATTTTCTGAGTTGAAGCAATTTTAACCCAGTCGTGGGATGTTTTCTTTCCAGATAGTGTTAGAATGTCTGACAAAGAATATTTGTTGTATTTCTTTGAGTATCTTACGTTTAAATCACCAATTCTAACCACTTTGGTGTCATTGTCTATCTTTTTAACTGTTTCAAACTCAATGTTTGTCATTTTCTGTTTCTTACATACAAGATAAAAAAAATTTTTTTAAAAAAACTAACTTTATTTTTTCTATCTTGTATCTTAAGGAAATTCATGAAATTTGGTCATTTTTTCACGATTTCAGGGATTTTTTTTACGAAGTGTAAAAGTTCACTTGGTAAAAAAATAACAGTTATATAATGAAATTTGGTCATTTTTTCACGATTTTCATGAGTTTTAGGCGACCAGGTTTTTTTCCCTACTCGCAATTTTTTACGATTTTCATGTATAAAAGATATGATTTCATGAGTTTTTTTACGAAGTGTAAAAGTTCTCTTCGTCAAAAAATAACAGTTATATAATGAAATTTGGTCATTTTACTCAGACAAAAATATATTTTAGGTGGAACCAGGTCCCTCGGTCCCTCGGTCAACTAACATCTTTTTGAAAATAGTGACAACATGACATTTTGACAACAACACAGGAAATAAACTTCTTCGTATATGTTTTGTCAAGACTTCTTCGTCAATGAGCGTAAATCAGACAAAAATATATTTCTACCATAAAGTTTTATAAGCGTTTTACATGGTATATGTTGTGATGGTTCATGACTTTAAACAGTTTTGTAGCTTCTATTTCTTCACGAAGGATATCAAAAGTTTTAACAATGCCGAAGGTTTCTTTATATTTCTTCTTGACATCAGATAGAAGGAAATCGTCAGCTGTTGGATAGTTTTTGTTCAGAAATGTCAACATGTCCATTTTATCTTCTGCTGGTTTCTCTACTTCTTTCTTTAAGTCAGCATAGTCGTTTCGCATACGTTCTATCTCTTTGACGGAGTAGTTATATTTCTTCATTGCTGCTTTACATTTTGAACATTGTGGGTTCATTTTAGCATTGTACATTGAAACCTTACCTGCTAAAACAACTAAGGCGTAAATGGTTTTCTTTAACTCAAAAGTTGCGGGTTTTATCTGTTCATTCCATACTTTACCTCTTCTATCTTTATCTCTTATCTGCCATACACATTTTGCAACTAACGAAACAAAGTTGTCGTAGGTCTTAAACTCCCCAGATTTATATATGTCAATGAAATATACCATATCGCAGTCTTTGTGGTTGCAATGAAATCCAAGAAACTCATAGTTTACATTACGTATGAACTTCTTTATTTCTACTGAGTCAGTTGCTTTGACTTCTATTTCTTCAAATTCTGGAATAGTGAGCTTTTGTTGTTGGATTTCAGGAAGTTTAGGTAGATGGTCAATAATATCCTGCATTTCATAAAGATACTGTTCATTTGTTTCATCTTTTGCAGTGCAATCTAAATCTCCTTGGAGAAGTTCTTGCTTTATCTTCTGGATTTCTGTTTCGAAAGTATATGAAGAAGGAATGAAGCTTTTCATCTCTACTAACATTGAAGTTGGGTTCATGACTAACGAGTTTGGTGCTGTTGTTGCTAACATGTTCTTACAATAAAAATAAAAAATATTTTTTTAAAAAAACTAACTTTATTTTTTATTTCGGGAAAATTCATGAGTTTTGGTTGAAAAATACGGTGAACCAAAAGTGGCTCGACCTCAAAACAAGCATTTTGTGAAGAATATACCAACCGCCGGAATTCCGCGGGTTGCTTTTTATACAAAATTCAACGGGTGACAAAACATATACGAAGAAGTCATGACAAAACATATACGAAGAAGAAGTTTATTTCCTGTGTTGTTGTCTAAATGTCATGTTGTCACACTTTTTCAGAGAAGTTCGTTTAACCGAGGGACCGAGGGACCGAGGGACCTGGTGACACCTAAAAACCATCTACCCTAAAATATATTTTTGCCGAATTCAATAAAAATAAATGGTTCATTTACTCACAATATTTTTGTACAAAACGACCCCAAACTTTTAACTTCTTTTCTGCAGCTTCAAATGCTATCTTAGCGAGTTCATATTCTCTAAATTCTCTCTTTAAATCTTCTTGTTCCCATTGGTCTAGTTCGTATGGAGAATCTTTATAACCATAACACATCTCATGTTCATGTTCTATTTGTTTTTCATGCATTTTTCTAACTTCTTGTTCGAACAAAGGTTTAGCATTCTCTACTGTATCTTCAAGTTCTTCTTCATCTAATTTCTCATGAACTTTCTTGTCTATGGAGTCCATAATTTTTCCAACTGCTATACAATATTTTGGAGAAGCCCACATTGCTATATAGTTTACAAGTCTTGGGTCTACATACGTTCCTCTAACCTGTTTGATTTCATCAGGAATTCCTGCATGAATTTTGTATAAAAAGCACCCCGCGGAATTCCGCGGGTTGGTATATTCTTCACAAAATGCCTTAAAATACTCTTCCCAGGACTTATTTTCCAACAACCTTCTAAAGTCTTTCCTAAACTGCTGACACATATTTGTTGCATTTATATAACCATCCTTGTCTCTACGTAAGACTTCAATACCGTTGTAAGTGCCTTTTGTGAATGTTTCGCCATTAGATTTGTTCGTGAACGTTTTTGCTTCGACTGTCATTTCAGTTCTTACAATAAAAATAAAAAATATTTTTGGGTGGTACGTCGGACATTCGTTTGTGGCTTAACCGTCGGACATTCGTTTGTGGCTTAACCGTCGGACATTGTCTTGAAACAGTATAAGACTAGTTCTGAGATCTCACCATCTAACCTAAAATATATTTTTGCCGAAAAAAATGAGTTTTGGTTGAAAAATACGGTGGAGCCAAAAAGTGGCTCGACCTCAAAACAAGCATTTTGTGAAGAATATACCAACCCGCGGAATTCCGCGGGTTGCTTTTTATACAAAATTCAACGGGTGAAAGAATACGATGAAGAAGTCATGACAAAACATTTACGATGAAGTTTATTTCCTGGACTGTTGTCTAAATGTCATGTTGTCACACTTTTTCAGAGAAGTTAAAATGACCGAGGGACCGAGGGACCGAGGGACCTGGTTCCACCTAAAATATATTTTTCAATACTTTTTCAGCACTTTTCCGTAGTTGTATATGAAAGACAATTCGAGATAAAAGTCATAGTACAATGGTATTATATGCTGCACACCATTTGTTGTGAACCAAACTTGAAAGTCAGAGAAACTGTTACTAGGTGGTTCGTAGAATTTAGAAGCAAAGTCATAAAAGTCCTTACCAATACATAGAAAACTATTGTTGCTTGAACTGAAACTTGCATGGCACATAACATTTTGAGGGTCGAACACGTTTCTATAAACTGTCAAATCTGCTGGTGGAAGTATAAATTTAAATGGACCATCTGGTGGTAATGGTTCGTTCTGGTTTAGTAACCGAAGAAATTGTGCCCAAGAACGTTTGTCTACTCCCCAAAATAAAAACTCTGTATCTCTTGGAGGGTTAATTTCAATCTTTTGAAATGAAACGGTTGAGTTCATCTTGTCATATTCTAGTTTCAGATAGTACGTTCCATTTAGTAAAGAGTCGTATTTTTCTTGAAATTCCCAATAATATTTGTTTATTTGAGTTTGAAAGTCATTTAGAGTTTTCTCAAGACTTTCGTCTGAACGAACTGTAAAGATTTTCATTTCGTCAAATTTGTCTATTAGACCATCAGAACCTTTATACTGCCCATGAAAATATACTGCGAACATAAATGCGTTAGTTCTATTTGAAAACAAAACTCTTCTAAATCCTATTGCCTTTGCATCTGAAGGACTTTGAAGCCAACGAACTGGATAGTCAAACCTGTATACTCGGGATGAAATTTCTTCATCTGATATAGTCCTACCAGCATTTGTAAAGATATAGTCTAACGGTTTTGTATCTGCTACTTTTGTTCTTTGTTTTTCAACCTGAAGCATTTAATATATGTAAAAATATATGGTTTTAAAAACGTTTTTACTTCATGCAATTTTTTATTTCATGCAATGTTTTATTTCTGTGCCGTCTTCAAGTATGCCCCAATACTTACGCTTGGAGAGGACATGAACTTCGGAAAATACCTTATCTAGCTTAAAACAGCCCATCTTTTCACCGACCATTCCCATTTCAATGAGTTTGTTGTATCCTTCTTCGTTCGTCATGAGTGCGTCAATGTTCTCATAGTAAACCACAACTTTGGATTTGACTTCGGAGAAGAATTTGTTGTAGTTGTCAAGGACTGCCTTTGCGAACTGAGGGTAAGACCAATGTTCGACAATAGGTTTTAATGTGGTTACTAAGCCATTTTGACCTTGAGTGAACTCGTACTTCAAAACAAAAGGAGAAAACCTTTCAACAAAGTTGTCGACCTTCTCATAATGTTTACTCTTCATCTTTTGAGGTTTCTTAATGGAATATCCCCATGTCGAATTCATAAGCAATTTGAGTGTCATTGCAAGTTTGGGGTTTGAAGCTTTCCTAATATCATACAGTTGTTGTATGACTTTTCCAACTGTATAGTTCCTTCCGGGAACTCACCATCTTCGTTTGGAATTCCAGTCGGAATATATTGGACAAACCTCATGTACGCAGCGTTAAGGTCGACATAGTATATTTTTTCGTTTGAGTCGAACTTGTTGCAACCAATTGGTCCAGTTTGTGGAAATTCAAGTGAGTCTCTTATCTTCTGAGAAACTTCTCCTGTTATCTCATAAACATCGTCGAAGCAACCTGTTTCATATAAAACCTTCTGACCTAACTCAGAAGCTCTCCAATACAATTTGACGTCAATTGGATGTCTCAATGGAAGTTTGTTTATAGCATCTTGAAGTTCTTGCAACCTCATTGGAAGTTCTTCTGGTTCAGGTTGGTATCCGAACAATCCAACTCCTTGTGGAATTGTGTACTTCTTTTGTACTATAACTTTGTCTGGAACAACTTTTGGTCTTGCTAACAGTGAAAAGTTTGTTTCGTCTTTTGGTACAAAAGTTTCTGTCAGCTTGTCATCTGGAATTGATTCCAACAAACCTTTCTCGAAAAGAATGTTTACAGCTCTGACAATGTTGCACTTGCCTTTTCCGAACAATGGGTTTGTAAGACTTTCGTTCAACATGAAGTGGTTGTGGACAATTACAATCTTCAACCATGGTAAGTCTTTGTCAACAACATAGTCGTCATGTGAAGAACCTTTCTCAGTCGGAATGTTGACTCGGATATTGACATTTGCCAACGGTGCAACTTTTGCCAATTGACCTCTGAGAATGTACCTTGTCTTCACACATGACTCAAGATACTTCATCTTCTCATCTGTAACAAGACCAGAGTTCTGAGACATGTAAGAATGCAAGGTTCGTTGACAATTGTTTCAATTGAATTGTAAATTCCATACCTTGTCAAGTCAATGTCAGACTTATTTATGAACGGAAAGTATCCAGCATGTTGTCTGACTGCTTGAGGGTTAGGTTGGTACCATTCGAACTTGACACTTGCAATTCCTTCAATTGCATTCAAAATGTCTGAGTCGGAGTCAAACATTTGTTCTCTCTTTGTAGTCTTGAAAGCGTCAAGAAGCATTGCAGCTGTTGTGACATTGCCATGTGCATAGTAAATGTGACTATCCAAATCTGTTATGGTCAATCTGAGATTGTGTCCTTTCTTATTTCCGTCTTGTATGGCAGCAAGTACACCCATGAAGCCTTCTTTGTTCTTTCCTTCGTCAAAGTTTACTGTAAAGGTTCGACCAGATATAATTTGGCTTCTAACTTCACGGTACTTCTCATATGCATATCTTGTTCTTTCCATGGGAGCATGTGCGTCTTCACCTTTTCCTTTTTTCCTTCTCAAAGGATGCAATTGTTCGTCATGTTTCCAGTAGAATCTGGCAAAGCCGTCGTGTCCCTCAACTTGAGGTTCACTAGCATCGAAAGGCATGTCCATAAGACGTTCTTCTTCTAACCTCTCTAGTCTGTTTGGATAATTTGCGCGTGCTGTTTCCAAATCCATTTCGTAGCGAAGACCAGCCAGTTTGTCATAGACTTTTATGGGTCTTCCCTTCCTATATTTAAAATTCTTCGAAACTCTCCAACCATATCTTTGCAACTCTGCTTTTATTCTAGCAGATTTTCTATCCATTCTATATGGGGGCATTTTTATAAAAATAAAAAAATATTTTTTTTCTCTTTACTTTACATAACCGCCTGAAGCCATAAGTCTTTGACGCCAACCCATACCAGCTAATGAAGGTTGACTTGGTTTAGTTTCCAAACTAAACTTTGGTTTTGGTTTATCTTCAGTTTTTGGTTTTTCTTCTTCTATCTGTTTTTCGTCACTTTTCGGTTCCGCTGACTTTACTTCACTTGCAGGAATAGTTGTGTCGTCAACATCTTCATAAATATCATATGCCATTTGTTTTTGTTTTCCTTTCAACTTTTTGTGTTTGTTGTAAAGTTTAGAATATTTCGACTCTAAGTCAATGAGATGTTCTATAATGAACTGTTGGTCAGTGAAGTAAACTTTTCCATCTGTTGTCTCGAAAGCTCCTTCAGACTTCAATATTTTATTTGTGAGAGTCTGTTTCTTTTTTGAGATACTTGCCGTTCCATTTTTATGAAAAGTGACTTTGTAGTTAGGGTTTGTATTTCCAGACCTGGCACTTTCTATTATTGAATTTTTCTCTTCATCTGTAAGTTCTTTGACAGGTTTTGACAATGGTTCTGAACTTTTTGTTTGTGGTGTCAAATCTACCGTTTCAACTTCTTCGGTCATTTCATCTCAGTAAAAAATTTTAGTTTGGTTTGTTTTCAACTGGTTGTTGTTGTTTTTTAAGTCGGTCTAAAACTTCCTGAGGTATAGGAAGAACTTGACAAACACGTTGTGTAACTGCTGGAAGTCGACAAATCCATCTTGAACCCATTTGTCTCAATGCTGTATTGTTCATTTCATCTCAGTAAAAAAATTTACATTCCCCACGTTTGAGGCGGTTGAGGTTGGTTATTGTTTACCCATTGTTGTGCATGGTTATATCCTCTGTTAAAGAATCTTTCACCTTGGTCCATATAGTGTCCTGCTTGGTTATAGTAGTCATTTGCTTTGTTATAATAGTTTCCTGCTTGTCTTCCTACATTGTCCATCCATCCTTGAACTTTTCCTCTTGTTTCAGGATTTGGAATAAGATTTGTTGCATCTCGTGCTACATCCCAACCTTTCTGTACAGTTTGTATAATAGGTTGTGCTTTCTCTTTAAGTATACCTAATGTACTCAAAATCTTCCTTCCAACTCCAAATACACCTCTGGCTATTGTTCCCACTGCGGGCAAAAATCTGGATGCAACTCCTGCTAACGCGCCAAATAAACCCATTTCTTATGGGTTAAAAAATGACGAATCCGAACAAGGACCCCTATGTTTCTAAAGCGACAAAGAAAGCACTCATGGTAAAAATCTTTAGTTCAACACCAAATGCTTGGTTTATGGATATCTTGGAAAACATTCCGAGAGTTAGAACAGATGGACCTCCATACTGGCTAATATTTGTCGGTCAAAACACAAGATACTGTGAAGCCATACCATTACAGTCCAAAAATATTTTAGATATCTTAGCAGCTTTGATAATATTCGTTGACAAATACCATCCAACAAAACTGACATCTGACTGTGAAAGTTCTTTCAAATCAGACGATATTAAAAACTATCTGCGTTCAAAAAATGTAAACCAATATTTCATTGTCGACCAAAGTTAGTATACAAGTCTCGTGTACGGAGGCACTGCGTTCCTCCGTACGCAATACTTGTGAATTTGACACTTTACAAAACTGTTAACGTATATTTTACAACACAAACACAAACACCAACTTAACCTTAAATATTTATAAAGCCGCCAACCACTTCACCTCACTAATGTAAAAAATAAACGTTCTCACTTACAAAAGTATTGCAACTCCTCCCATTGCTGTGCTTCACATAACAGCTCATAATCTTCTGACTCACTTTCTTCTTCATATAGGTCAAAATCACTGTCAAAATGAATGTTAGTAAGTTTTGACAAAGCTAATGAAACACGTTTACCGTTTGTATCGTATGCTTGTATAAACTTTCCATTCTTCATTCCTTCATAAACGCTCAAACTAATTTTACCCTTTCTCCCTCGTATCTGATAGAATGTATTTTCACGAGGAACGAAGAACAAATTCTTGAACTCATGACCGTTGTAGTTTGTTATCTCAATAGTTTTCGTCATTTATATAAAAATAAAATAAAAAATTATTTAAAAATAAACTTAAAAATTAATGATATCACCACCCTCACACGTATGAAAACATCCATTTAAATTTAGGTGAAGTGGTGAGATCTCACCTCTTTTTTCACCTGTTTTTTCACCCTGTTGAATTCATTGCTTTATAACTCTCTTCCTTTCTCCAACTCTTCTAACTTCTTCCTAAGTTCAGCAATGTTGTCCTCATGAAGTTTAATCTTTCTCAAAATTCCTTCTTTATCTAATGGTTGCTTTATCTTTCTAAACTGAACTCTACCATCCTTCATAGTATGAATGTAAAAACCTTCTGGAATAATTCCTGATTTAATGTATTCTACCAAAAACTTTTGTTTCATTGCTTCAGTGACTTTAGTCGTCATTTCAATCAAATAAAAATTTTAATATTAAATAAAAATAACGTTATTTTTTCAGTAAGGAAACGCAGGAGTTTTACGATTTATTTGAGGAGTAGGTTCTGGTTTAAATGTTGGAGTCGGTTTAGGAGTTGACTTTTGAACAGGAGTTTGTACTTCCATAGGTTCAGGAGTATTGAAGGTTTTGCTTGTGAAGGCGTTGGTTTTGGCGAAGGTGTTGGAGTTTGTTTAACTTCAGCTACTTCAGTATTATTTACAACATTTGCTTTATTTCTTTTCAACATCATTACTGCTCCTGCTGTAGCTAGCAAACCTAGTGGGAGACCATATTTTATATAAGGACTTGACCAAATGCTATTTTTGACAGGAGCTGGTGGAACACCTAACCTTGGTGAGACTGCTCTTTGCCATTGTGCAGCTCGTAAGAAATATTCAATAGGTGCTCCATAATCGTTTGGTAAAGTTTGTTTCATAGATGGTGAAGGTTCACGAGAGCTTGATGAAGAACTCATTTATAAGCTTTAAAAATAAATGTTCATCCTTTATTCCTCACTGTCGTCCGTGGCTAAGTTATAGTCATCTAATCTTATTATGGGGATGCCATTAGCACGCACCTGAATGGCAAAGCAACAATCCCTCATAAATCCAATAAGTGGCTTTGGTACGTTTTCAGTTGCTAGTTCAATAGGTCCTTTAACAGACAATTTGTATGTTATTGGAGCAGTAGATGTTTGACCTTGCTGGAAGCAAAAGTCCACTTCTGTTGGAAAACCACATAAGAAATGTGTGTTGTCATAGCTATCCCATTTATGTTCCACACTACCATCATCCACCAATGACCTCATAACATCTTCATTAAATCCAATCATATCATTGTTTGTATTGCAAGCGTTCGCAACCATTTCATAAAATACAGGTCCATATGATTTTTCAGGTTCTGCAGGCATATTTCCATAAGCTCCCATGGAAAGCTGAAGATATTTAAACTTAGGGTTCTCAAAATTAACATAATAGTTGTCTTTCTTTCTAAATAGTGCCCAAATACTTTTAACATTAATAGGCGTATAAGCTGCTGTAAATGTTGCACTTGAACTATCTGTATTCTTTGAGAATGAACCGTCCATAGGAATCCAATCCATAACTTTAACAGGAAAACATAAAGCCTCGTTTGTATAATGTTCTACAAGTTCTGTATAAATGTTAGGGTCTAAAGAGAATGACTTTGGATGAATGAAACATTCATTAAAATCCATCTTTGTTCGAAATAGTTGCTGGGTTACAGTTGTAATAGTAACTGTTCCACTAGCTTCTACTGCCTTCGTTATCATAGTGAATGGTTCATTCCATGGAACAAATTTATTTGTCGGTGGATTTGAATCTGAAGCAAATGCAACTTTAAGAGTTGGATTGAAAGCAATGATATCATTTACAGATATAGATGTGCATTGTAAGGCGTCGCTACTGAACTTTACTTTAAGCTGAATGTTTCCTGCAAAAGCTGGAATAAATCGAATAGCTTCTAATGGAAGGAATCTTCTAACAGGAATTCTTAAACGAAGCTTAAAATCAAATGATTTTCCTGCTGTAATTGGACCACTAACAATTTGTCCTGTTCTGCATGTTCCCGAATGACTCCATACATCTTCATGTCGAGTCTTTGAAAAAACATCTACTTTCTTTATTTGTTCGGTAGTTTGTGAGTTTGAAGTTATATATGCTTCTTCTCTTGCGTTGTCTTGAGAATATACGATACGACCATTTGCAAGGATTTGATATCCAGCAACTGCATAGAAAGCGTCATCGAAACCAATCCAAAATCCTGGTGGGTTTGTTTTATTGGAACCTGAACCAATTTCTTTATCTACAATAAATTGACCTTCCATTTTATACGTAATGAATGTATTGTAAAGGTCCAACATATTTTCACCAGGAGGTGAGAGATTGAATGTTACCCATGTGTTATCTTTAGCAGTTCCAGGTTGTGATGGAATCTTTGCGTCAGAATATTTTCTATTAGTGTCACCAATTTGAACTGCATTGTCTATGATATCGAAATATGAGCGAATCTGATGAATATGCTCTGCTGGAGTAAATTCGTTTAACTGTTCGTTCTGCATGTATTTACTTCAGATAAAAATATCTATTTACTTCATTATTCTCACTCTTCTTCTTGGTATTCGTGGTGGAAGTTGTTTCTTGACATTTTCAATGAACTGTACATTCTCTTTTGTCTCAACTTCTTTCACTGGCGGGTCAGGGTTCTTTGACTCGGTTTGTTTTTCAATGAAATTCACGAACTTTGCAATAAGCTCTTGGTTCGTTATTGAAAGTACATCTGGCTTCTTTTCTTCTGGTTCTATTGACTTTTCAGTTTGAACAGAAGGTTTTATATGGGCTTCGTGGACTTCACCCTTGCCATGCACCTTAATGTTGTCGCTCTCTGCATTCGCTAATGGTACCTTTCTTTTTCTTACGTATATTTTACCATCTTTACTCTGACTTACGTAATAGAAAGGATGTTGTATTCCTCTTGCGTCATTTAATATAATAGACTCTCGTTCTGATTTTGACAAGCTCATTTTACATCGGTTAAAGTTTTAATTTTGTTTTTTATCTGCAGTCAAATGACTCAGATAAGCCCTACGGACAAGACCCAAGGGGTCATAGATGTTGAAGCATTGAAGAAAGAAATTCGTGAGCAAATTTTATCCGAACTGAAGGAACAAAAACAAGAACAAAAGCCAGAGAGACCAAAGAGAAAACTTAGTGAAAAACAACTTGCTGCATTAGCTGCTGGAAGACAAAAGAACCCAAGACTACTGGCGAAAAAAGCTAGAGAAGAAGCTGAAGCAAAAGCTAAAGAAGCTGAAGCAAAGAAAGAGTAAATGGTTTATTTTTATCCGAATTAAATGTATAGACAAATACCTTTATCTGTTGCGTTCAGTAGTGAAAACCCTGACGTCAAAATAAAGGGGAACAGAGTAACGTTTAAGTTTCCAACAGACTGGATTGTGAACATAAATGAAGAGAAGTACATTGGCATAACATCTATGTATATAACACATGCATTTAGGAAAGTTGACTTTATACTTCAAGTCGAGATAGAAAATGACGAACAGTCTTTAAGCGCCCAAAACATTCACATATACAAATACTTTAAAGACGATACAACTTTACAAGAATGTATGATTTCCTTCAATGAAATGTTCGAGAAAAAGTTCAACATTGAAGTACAAACTTTACAGCCTTTACGTGAGTTTCTTGCACAACTGAAAGAAGAAGGTAGTCAGCCACAACTTATAGACTTTCATTATGAATTTAATGAAAATGAAGATGGAACACATGACTGTCAGTTTGTTATATATTCACCATTCAATGAAGTAGCTAAAAAGAAAGAAAATCCATTACGTATAAGATTTCAAATCTCTGAACTCAATGAAGACTTCAAGAATGTTTTCAATTATTATGCAATGCTTCCGAGGAAAAATGAATTTTCAAAGATTGTAACACCCAGCATTTGGGATAGAAAGCAAGCTATATTATATTCAAACTTAAGTAAGGGAGTTGAAAATGAGTTCATTGGTCATACAAGAACTTCACCACTTCCTAACCCTAAATACTATAAATTAACTGGCTTCAATCGTGAGTTTTGGATAGACATGTTCTCCACTCATGACCATAACTGCCCAGTGTTCTTACCTCCAGACCATAAGGACTGTCTCTACATTGAAGCACAACTCTTAAACTCTACCATCGCAGTATTGTAAAATCTACGCTAGTTTTATTTTTATCACGAATGACCTCATTGCTGACAAAAATAAATGACCTCATTCATGACCTCATTGCTGACCTCATTCATGACCTCATTCATGACCTCATTGCTGACAAAAATAAATGACCTCAGAACTTCAACTTACGAATAAAGCTTGTTTTAGTCGTTATTGAGAAGTTAAACTTCTCTTCAAAGCAAGGTTGACATGACTTACATAAGTCAAATCCAATCTCTTGACCATCATGAAGTGCTTTGTAAAGTTTCATTAAACTGAACTCAGAGTCTTTGTCAAATTTTCCTTGCGGAACCATTAAACCTTTATCTTCATTGTAATAGCATTGTATAGCTTCAGGAAACATTTCATTAGCGGTTAAAGCAATAACATCTTGCTTCACGCCTTTCATTCTGCAGTGAAATGCAACTTCATTTAAATCATTCGTGAGTAAGTCTATGTAAGTCTTCTTTCCACAAAATATTGACTTGTATGCTAAACTTTGTTTTCCAGGTGTGATTTCTGCAAAGTCGCTATGAAATTGACCAAGGTTTTTACCAATGAGAACTCTTCCATAACGTTTTCTCAAACTCTTCAGCTAAACGAGGGATATCTTCATTGTAGAGATGCATACTGTCCGTATCGCTATAAAAGATGTCCATTCCTAAGTCCTCAGCAGTACAGAATACTTCACACATTATTCTCTTCGACATAGACAGAATGTTAACACCAAGTGGACAGAAGTTAAAGTGTCTGCAAATGCTTTTCGTTAGCTTGAAAATAGTTTTATCTGAACCATCCAAACCTTCGAACTTCACTATATGGTTGTAGTTTCTGATGGCATATCTTATAGCATCTTTGTCATTTACTATGGTTATTTTTGACTCAATAGGAGATAGAATAGTTTTGCCATAAATACTGTTCAGAATGAGCTTTATATTTTCTTGCAAAGGATTTCCTTCTTTCTTATACTTTAACCTTAACTCAAACAACTTCTTTACTTCATCTCTTATTCTAATATCTCTGTTTCCATCGTAATAGTATCCTTGCAACACATCACATTTGACACCTTGATATTTTATGAGGTCTTGTAATGTTATATGGTCAACATACATGAGACAGCAAGTGTTTGAACTTCTGGGAACGTTAAGTTCTGGATTTAGTTCAGGGTCACAAACTATTAAAGGAAAGTGTCTATGTATTCCAATCTCTGTTATCTTAATGAGAACAAAGAAGCCAGACATAAACTTTTCACCAATGGGTTCCTTTTGGTCGTCATCGAATAAATGTCTCATGAGATACTCTGTGCTTAACATCTCATCCTTCAATACTTTTGGAATTCCTTCTAAAGTATACAATCTTGCTATAGCGGATGGATATAATGAAACAGCGTCGAAATCAGCAATGAGTTTCTTTTCGCTCTTTTGTTTCATGTTATCTGACAACATACATCTTCCACCTTGAATGCATCTCGAAATAAATTCTCTTGGTTTATTTGAGAGGTCATAAAGATTTCCATTCGGGAAGTATACTCTGTTCTCAAACAATTTGTTAGCAATAGAACAAATACTAACGTAGTCATAAACGTTTAAATCAAACTCTTTCAATAAGTCATTGCGGAACTTTACAAAACCTTCTCTTAAAATTCTTACATCTTGTTTGCAGTAAAACGTGCTATATTTTTCTAAGTCGAAGTGGTTCTCATCTATTCTGCAACCTTTGATGGAATCTATGTTTTTCATAAATGTATCTGCATCCCGGATAAACTTACATGCTTCAGAAATGACACCAGTTCTGTTGTCATTTGCTAACAAAACACTGCTGTAGTAGTTATATGGAAATACTTCTTTCGGTCCTGTTTGTAAGTTAAACATAGCAGGAAATAGTTTAAGCTTCTTATTTATAACACTGTAAGAGTCTTTTATAATAATTGCCCGTCCTTTATATAAACCAGTTATTTGCATTGTTCGTGAACCTTTAATGATGGGAGTTCCTTTCACTTCTGTCATGTGTCTTAAGATGAAGTTTATGTCATAACTGAGGTTGTGAAAATATATTAAACTCTTGTCAGGGAGTCTTTCCAAAAATTCTGTTGCACAGTTTTGACCCCAAATGCTTTCACTCACTGAACCATCTTCACTGTCATAACAGATGTTAAAAGCTTTATGAAAGCCGTCTGTGCTACACTCAAAGTCAGCAAAGAAAACGTGCTCAGGAATGAATTTACATTTAGCTTTATTTACTTCTTTTGACTCTGCTTTCTTCTTCAGTTGTACACAATACTTTGGAGCATATGTCAAATCTTTAAATGGTGCAAGGTTCTGTTTATATAAGTCAGTAGTATATGTGAAAAGTTCTCCATAAGAAATAGGTTCGAAATATTTGCACTCCCACAATGTTTTCATAACATCCCATAACGGTGTTGTTCTATCATAACGAACTACATATTTATCTTCTCTCTTTGTATAAATCTTCATCTGTTTCTCAATGTTCATTCCACCACACTCCTTCAAGATTTCTATATAGTTTCGAATGAAGTATGTTGTCATTGGAAGTCTTTCATTTAGCATGTAGTGGTCTTCAACAAGAAGTAAGTCAATAGTTCTAACAGTTTCGCATTCTTTTGGTATATATCTCTTTATTTCATTATGTCTTGAGTCATTGAAATAACCAATGGTAACATTAAATGCTATACCTGTTGAATCGGAAATTTCTTGTACTTTACTTTGAGGAAAGTCTCTAACACGAATGACTTCTCTCATGTGGTCAATAGTTTCTTCATCTACTCCAGCCTGAATGCAAGCATAAACGAAACAATTGTCTTCTGTCATAAGTGCTGCAGTTCTTTTGTTCAGTTCATTGAAGATTTGGTAGCGTTCAAGATTTATAGATAACGTGCAAAGATACTTCCAGAACTGACCGCTTCTCTTCTTATAAAACTTCTTTTCACCATTATCTTTCCAAAAGCTTTCTATAAGTGCTGGTTTCCTGTTTGCTTAAGAGCTTCCAAAATGGCTTTCTGGTCATTTGTCAGTGTGCTTTCATCTCTATATGGTCTCTTTTTTGGTTTGCCTTTCTTTACATCTGACATCGTTAAGCCTTCATATTCTGTTAAATCATACATCTTTATTTCGGTAAGATTCTTTATGTTTGTCAAGAAGAAGTCATAGTGCATTTCAACAATACCTGCAGCATTTGCTTCTATCTCTGATATAAGTTCTCCTTCAAGAGCTGATGTAGTAATGTTCCAATATTATTGAGGTTTAACGTAGAACATTCATACTTTCCACCAAGTTTATAACATACCATCCATCTTTGTTGCGAGTTTATTTTAATTTTCTCTAAGAGTCTCATGAAAACCTTACCGAAATGTTTGTGTAAGTAGTCTCTGGTTCATCTAAAGCTTCGATGTTAAAGTCAATGAGTCTATTGCCTGACTTCACATTTCTCTTCCTATTCTCTTCATCTTTCTTTAACCATCTCTCACCTTCTTTTGGTTTGTCGTCAATGGAACGAATGACATCGTTAGCTTTGCGAACTTGTTCTATAGCGCTCTTAAACATCTCTCTTCTCTGTTGTTTCAGTGTGTCGTCTCTTCTTCTTGTTTCACCAACGTTCGCATGGGCTACGCCCGCGCCGTCATGCGGCTTTGTTATGTCAAACATCTCTCTTCTTACTTCATGAGGTACAGCTCTTCTTGTTTCACCAACGTTCGCATTTGTTATGTCAAACATCTCTCTTCTTACTTCATGAGGTATTGAACGTCTATGATATAAGTCAATAGCAACGTCATTTAAAGGAAATGCTATTGCATGGACTTCGTCCTCGCCGCGTTGCGGCTTTATGAACTCATGAATTCTATCATAACTTATTGCACCATTATAGTCTTTAATGAAGTCAGCGAGTGCTTTTTTGTTTGTTGCGTAATGCTTTGCAACATCTATATTAGCTTCTGTAAGAAGTTGTTTTATTTCCGAGTGTTCTAACTTAGACAACTTCCGATACATCTTTAGTAGGAAATAAAAAAATATTTTTTGAAAAAATTAGATTAGATTTTTTTAAGTTATTTTTCAAAATAATTTAATATTTTTATTTTAATGAAACACATGCAAGATTGCAAGTTCTTTTCATACAATGCTCTCGCTACTGCCATCAAGAATGAGTTCAATGGTGCTTCAAACGTCAATGTTATCTTTAACAAGAAGTTTGTGAAAGAATCTAAGTTCGGTCAGTATGTCAGACCATTAGCTATTGTCATTGACCGCAAACGTTATACTTCACAAGAGTTAGCAGTAGTTTTGAAACAAAAGGGTTTCTTCGTGAATGTCAAAGATACTCATTATACTGTCATAAAGAACTCTAACATTGACTTCTTCAGTATTGCTTTAAATCTTTCCGAACAGAAAGAATATAAGAAGGGTGAAACAAATGTGAAATATTATCCTTCATCTCTGAAGACAATAACGAACAAAGATGTTATACAGAAATTCTTACCAAAGGTTGAAGAAGCTTCAATTGACATTGACGAAGGAAGTGAAATGGTTGAAGAAATTGACCCTGAAGCTATTTAACCAAAAATATATTTTTGGTGAAGAGACCCAAAGGGTCAGAGCCGCAAAGCGGCTAGGTGAGATATCACCTGTTTTTTCACCTCATTCTCTCTTCGTTAATGTTGTCGTGACTTCTTCGTTAATGTTGTCGTGACTTCATTCTTCCTCTTTGAAGTTATCGAAATATTCTGTTATTTTTTCCTTCAGTAATGGTAAGTCTTCTTTGAAGGTAAGTATTGTGCAACCTTTGATGTCATAGTGTGTTTGAGGAAGAGTATTTTTGACAATTTCTTTTATTTGCTCATTCGGTGTCATTGAAATCGGTAAGTTTTCACGATAGAACCAGTTTCTGTCAGATTTATATATTTTAGCAAGGTCGTAAAAGCTTTTGTTGTTTCTTCTGACTAAATGCAACATAACCATATCTTTATCTTCTTCATTTTCCATCTCTTCAGTATAAATCATATACTTATAGTTCTTTTCCTTTCCTTTTGGTACTGAACGCGGTATTCTTTTCTGTATGCTTTTGTCTTTGGATTCAATGACTTCATCTTTTGCTTGAAGTTTCTTTTCCATCTCTCCACGTTCTGCTTTATATAGTTCATCTAACATCATGAAAATATAACAAGCATAACGAGGTGAAGCCCACATTGCAACTGCATTTACTAAAAGTCTATGAACATAATAACCTTTCAAACCAGGTGCCAAATTCTTGCGATTTTCGTACGGAATCTCTTCCCTCGGTTTTCCGAGGGTAGCAATCATATGAGGAAATTCTTCTAAAAGTTCTTTTGTCTGTTGGTTTTCAAACCAATGATATGCTTGCTTTGTAGAACGAAGAGCATTCATTATACTTTGCATTTGGTACATGTCGTCTTTGACAGAACGAATGAGTCTCAATTGTTTGTTATACTGTATGTATTCGTATTCTTCATTTATGGCTTCATGAACGATAGCAGTTGTTGTGTTCTCTAATGTTGACATATCTGTCTTTACATACAAGATAAAAAAATAAATAAAATAAAAACTAACTTTATTTTTTTTGAGATAAACACTATTTCTTCACAACATTAAATTTTATCCTGTATGAAATGACTTTAAAAAGATTATTGACTGACTTCGAATACTATATCATTGACGCACTGACAGACCCTCAAAACTGTGTTGAAAGTTCTTTAAGCTTTAAGATTGAAGGTACGACGCATTTTGTCTTCACTTACGTATTGAAAGAATATGACCGTTATCATAACGAAGTGAATCAAACACTAATAAAATTTGTAGATAAAAAATTGGTTAACAATGAATATTTTAAACGTGAAGACCCAAACACTGCTGGAGATGATGAAGAATACAGACAAGCTATTGAAAAAAATAACGCAAGATTAGATGCAATAGAAAAGAAGTTTAATGAATGTCTTACAAACACGTATGAATATCTTATGCGGTGGGAAGCTAGATGGAAATAAATTTACGTCAAATATGCAATTTATAAAATCTTATGTCGACAGGCTACGTAGCACAGTGGTCTAAGGTGGTGTTATGGAGGGTCAGGGTCTGTGGTTCGAACCGCGACAGCGCCGTATTTTCTTATTTTCTTTGTTTGTCTTGTTTGTCGTGAATAAAAAGTGTCATAAAAGTGCTCTATCTTCCACGGGAATAAATAAAAAATTTACTTTATTTCTTCTTTATTTCTTTGTTCCCGTGGAAGAAGGGTTTTTGCCGTTTTTTCTCAGCCGAAATCAACGATTTTTTCATTTTTGGAATCCTTAGCAAATGAGGAATCTTTTCTCTCGTGGAAGCTTTGACCAAAAATATAATTTAGGTGAAGAGGTGAGATTTCACCTCTTTTTTCACCTAATTTTTCACCTCAGCCGCTAAGCGGCGAGACCCAAAGGGTCTTGACTTTGTCATGACTTCATCGTAAATGCTTTGTCATGACTTCATCGTAAATGCTTTGTCATAACTTCTTCGTAAATGCTTTGTCATAACTTCTTCGTAAATGCTTTGTCATGACTTCTTCGTAAATGCCTTGTCAAGATTTCATCGTAAATGCTTTGTCATGACTTCTTCGTAAATGAGTGTAAATGACCAAAAATATAATTTAGGTGAAGAGGTGAGATTTCACCTCTTTTTTCACCTAATTTTTCACCTCTTTTTTTCACAAGCGTTTTACATGAATTGTACGATGTATATTTGAAATCCTAAACAGTTTTGTAGCTTCTATTTCTTCGCTGAGGATATCAAAAGTTTTAACAATGCCGAAAGTCTCTTTATATTTCTTCTTGACGTCAGATAGAAGGAAATCTTCTACTGTTGGATAGTTTTTGTTCAGAAATGCTAACATGTCCATTTTATCTTCTGCTGGCTTTTCTGCTTCTTTCTTTAAGTCTGCATAGTCGTTTCGCATTCTTTCTATCTCTTTGACGGAGTAGTTATATTTCCTTATTGCTGCTTTACATTTTGAACATTGTGGGTTCATTTTTGCGTTATACATTGAAATTTGACCTGCTAGAACAACTAAGGCGTCAATTGCTCTCTTCATCTCAAACATAGCGGGTCTTATTTGTTCGTTCCATACTTTGCCTCTTCTATCTTTATCTCTTATTTCCCAAACACATTCAGCAACTAACGAAACAAAGTTGTCGTAGGTCTTAAATTCTTCAGATTTATATATGTCAGAAATGTTTTTATAAACCATGTCGCAATCTTTGTCCATAACTTTATGGTTGCAATGAAAACCAAGGAATTCATAATTTACTTTACGTATGAACTTCTTTATTTCTACTGAGTCAGTTGCTTTGACTTCAATTTCGTCGAATTCAGGAATAGTTAGTTTTTGATGCTGAATTTCAGGTAGTTTAGGTAAATGGTCAATAATGTCCTCCATTTCATAAAGATACTGTTCATTTGTTTCATCTTTCGCACTACAGTCTAAATTACTTGTTAAAAGTTCTTGCTTAATTTTTTGTATTTCTGTTTCGAAAGTATATGAAGAAGGAATGAAGCTTTTCATCTCTACTAACATAGATGTTGGATTCATGACTAACGAGTTTGGTGAAGTTGTTGTGGACAGAGTCCCGCCGTTCGCGGCTTGAATTGTTGTTGTGCCGATTGTTGAAATCATATCTTTTATACAAAATAAAAAAATAAATAAAAATAAAACTAGCGTTATTTTTTGGTCTTTTGTGAAAATTCATGAAAATTCACGGGGTGAAAAAACAGGTGAGAAAACAGGTGAAATCTCACCTCTTCACCTATAATATATTTTTTGGTGAATTCAATAAAAATAAATGGTTCATTTACTCACAATATTTTTGTACAAAACGACCCCAAGCTTTTAACTTCTTTTCTGCAGCTTCTAATGCTATCTTAGCGAGTTCATATTCTCTAAATTCTCTCTTTAAATTTTCTTGTTCCCATTGGTCTAGTTCGAATGGAGAATCTCTATAACCATAACATAACTCACGTTCATGTTCTAATTGTTTTTCGCACATTTTTCTAACTTCTTGTTCGAACAAAGGTTTAGCATTCTCTACTGTATCTTCGAGTTCTTCTTCATCTAACTTCTCATGAACTTTCTTGTCTATGGAGTCCATAATATCTTTGACATAAAATGCATACTTTACAGAGCACCATTCAGCAACAAAATGAACGAGGTCAGCATGTATGTAAATACCTTTGAATTCATTCATAACGCCCTTAGTAAGCTCATAAAATGCTTGTTTTGAGGTCGAGCCACTTTTGGCTCCACCGTATTCGTTCATCCAAAACTCAAGAATTTCCTGCATTTTAGTACTATTGAGAAATCTGTTTAAATGGTTTAACCTTCCCGCTTCTCTTGCCATCTTTGTTGCATTAATGTAACCATCCTTGTCTCTACGTAAGACTTCAATACCGTTATAAGTGCCTTTTGTGAATGTTTCACCATTAGATTTGTTCGTGAATGTTTTTGCTTCGACTGACATTTCTGTTCTTACATACAAAATAAAAAAATAAAAAAAAATAAAACTAGCGTTATTTTTTTCTATCTTAAGGAAATTCATGACAAATTCACGGGGTGAAAAAAGAGGTGAAAAAAGAGGTGAAATCTCACCTCTTCACCTAAACATTATTTTTGGTCTTTTGTGAAAATTCATGAAAATTCACGGGGTGAAAAATTAGGTGAAAAAACAGGTGAAATCTCACCTCTTCACCTATAATATATTTTTGTCTGATTTACATCTAATGAAAAAGTTTAGAAGAATTTTCTTATTCTTTCTGGCATGTTTTTATCTTTCCAGTACTCCCGCTCTAATGGTCCCAGATGAGTTGGTTTAGATTCTCTCAAGTTCTTAGATGGTATAACATCTTCAACGCCTCCTTCATATCTTACTTTATAAGTGTCATCGTTTGTGTTATAGTCAAGTATTTCAATAACCACTCCTCGCTTTGCTTCGTCAATGGTTTCAGCAAGTTTGCCATTACTACTTTCGACTAATTTATGTCGAGGGTAAAATGCTATGGAGTCGTCAGCAGCTTTTATAAGATATCCATTACCTTGCGTAGAGTCTACGATATAATAATTTCGACTTAACCTTAAACGTTTCTTTGTCAACGGTTTGTCGTCAAGAACTACACGAACTTTTGTTCCAGGAATGAGAGTAAATTGTGTTGAATTTCTGATATTTTGTGTTTGACTTCGTTTCTTTTGTATATACTTTTCTTCTTGTTGTTGTGTCATTGAATTTGGTGTATGTCCTGTTGTAGAATGTGTTGAGGAATTATATACTTCGAGAAAATGTTTCATTGTTTCTTCGGTAAAGTCTCGCTCTTGATTTAAATCTCTGAGAGTCCTTATGAAGCGGTTAATGATACCGAGTATGTTATGGTTATGGTCTTCAGTAGTGTAGTGAGTTATGTTATGCTTAATGAGAAATTCTGTGATTTCGTTGCTGAGGTATGCACTGTCTTGGTCTGATGTTAAAGTACTTGGGTTATGTTCTGCTACAAACTTTTGTAAAACTCTTAACACTTCACGAGTTCCTTTATTTTTCATTGGATATGCATATGCTTTACGAGTGTTAACATTTATGAAGATGAGGAATGGTTTATGTCCTCCTTTTCTGCTTTGAATGAGAGTGTCAAATTGGTATGCGTCAGGAGTGTTGGAGTAAATTGGTAAAAAGTAGTCGTAAGGGTTTATTTTTGTTTGATGTACAACATTTTTGTCAAAGAACCTTTTCACTTCAGCTCTGTTAGTAAATCCCCAACTCTTTGCAGCTTCATTGAACTTCTTAAATGACCTCCATGGATGTTGTTCGAATACTTCTTTCAAGCTCATTTATGTAAAGTTAAAGATTTTATTCTAGGGTCAAGCGCGTTCATTGAACGCGGTACCATGCGAATATAGTCACAAATGGTGGCATATAATCTGCACCCGAGCCTGTTGGATTTGTTGTGAAAGTGTGTGAATGATTTCCTGTGGTTCCACAGAAAATACCTGCGCTTGAATCTACTGGGTCGCTTGAAATATCATATCTATGCATTCCCTGTCTATCCGAACCTGCTGCAAGATTTGTATAACCTCTTTTTGTTATTGAATGTGAATGACTACCTGTTGTGTTTGTAGTTCCTGTATGAGTGTGCGGTGGAAGGTTTGCTTCTTTAATTTTCTTCGAACCTCCTGTTTGCTTTGAAGAGTTAGCACAGTATAAGAATTTGTCTACAATCTGCTTCCATTCACCAAAACCTAAAACACTTGCTGGATTTGTTGAGTTCATTGACGTATAAATAGAGCCTATAGGATATAATGTTTGAAGTATTTCTGTCTTTAATGTTTGAAGCTCTGTTTTGTCTGCTTTCTTGTCATATAAATCTTGAGCAGTGAATTTAATATTATGTTCATCCTTCATGACATAAACATCTTTACATCTAATGTTTCTCATCGTCGTTATGTCGTCATCCGATGTTAAACCTTGTGGAAAGTTAGGAGGTTTACAATATAATGCAGCCGCGTGCGGCGGGGCTCCGCCCTCCCCACCAGTTTCTTCAACCGTTCCTTCAATACTTTCTATAGCAACAGTTGTAAAACTTGTATGTGTATGAGTCTTATTTGCTTTTTTATCTAACATTGCTGGTAGTTCATGTGTTTCAAAGTTTCTGACATGACCTTCGATATTCATACATTTGTTATTTAAGGAGTTTAGTGTATCTTTTACGCTTGTACTTGGATTCTCTAAAGGTGCACTTGAACCAAGGGTATAGTTCAATATTATGTCGTCTGCTCTAACAGTTGAGAAGGAGTATATGTGTATGATTTTTGTCAGCTTTACTGTCTAATGTAGCTTGAAGTTCATTTATATCGGAGATATTGTGTTTATGAGATTTCAAAACTTTGTTCATTGCTTCGAGTTCAACTTTGTCAGCTTTACTTTTAATAGCATCTTCAAACGTTATTTTTGACTTAACTCTCAAAGTAAATCTTGGTTCAACTAATACACCGTTAACATTGAAAGTAGAGGCATAAATTTCACCGGTATAACCAAATGCTTCTGGTGCTTTAGCTACATCATACTGTACAGTACAGCTTATGTCATAACCTTTAGCACGAATGTATTTATATCTTCTTTCATTAACATTTTTTGTCTTCGCTTCATCACTTCGTGTTAAATATCCATGGTAGTCCGTTATAATCTGTTCGTCTGAAGTTATATAATGAACATGGTTCTTGTCCGCTTTACTATTTAATGTAGCTTGAAGTTCATTTATATCGGAGATATTGTGTTTATGTTCTTTATCTGCTTTTTCGGCTAATTTCTCTTCTATCTCATTTATTTCAAGTTCATGCCTACCACCACCTCCCGAAGAAGTATTTTTCTTCAGCTCTTGAAGAACGTCCACTTCGCCATCTTTAGTGTCAATAATGAGACTTTGAGTTAAAACCTTTCCTGTCTTAATGGATGTTTGTAAAACTTCTTCTTCACCGTGTTCGGGGTCATGGTCGTCATCATATCTTGTGAAATCAGATATGTTGTCATACATTAAACATATCTGTCTCAAAAGTTCTGCTATTTGAAACTGGAACGAAAGATATACAGAACTTTCATCATCTCCTAAAGTCAAGTCTGCTTTCTTAAGTATTTCTTGAATGTATGCAATGAGAACAGAGTACCTTGGAAAATATTCGAACAATATTTCATTAGCTGTTGGTTTTGATGGTTCTTCTGGAGTTTCTGTTGTTTCAGTTCCTTCTGTAGGTTCTGTTGGAGTTTCTGCATCTCTTGACTTCAATGCTCTTGCTCTCAAAGACCTAAATGTTAGAGCACCGGGTTTTACAAAGGACTTTATAAATGCTTTAATAGTTCCTGGTAAGTTATTGTTAGCATTAAGTAAGTTCCTTATGCTTCCATCATGTACGTCCATAGCACTATGTAAAAAATCTATACTTTTCTTGTAGTCAGCAATAGACTGACTGTGATTTTTTAAAGATTTGTCAATACCTTTAAGCCAATCTTCATGCATGTCTGATACTGAGCCAAGAATATCATTTGCTTCCTTTAGTGTATTTTGTGCTTGTCGTAAAGTATCCAATCCCGTACGTGCATTGTTTGCTATACGTCTTACAGTATCTATTTGACTCCTTGTTTCTTGCATCCAACCAGATAAAGTTTTAATAGTATCCGAACCATTTGAAATGAAGTTCAAAGCATTTTTAACGTCATTTAAAACTTCTTCACCAAGTACCGCCCATATCTTTCCGATTTGGTATTGAAGAACTCCATATGAAGCAGCTGTTAAACCAGTATTTATAAGGTCCCATATCCATGATTTAGCAGTTTTTCCATCCTTTCCATCCTTTCCATCCAAACCGTTTTCGCCTTGAGGTCCTTGTATTCCTTGTATTCCTTGTATTCCTTGTATTCCTTGTGGTCCTTGAGGTCCGGTGTCACCCTTCTCTCCTTTCAGTTCATCTTTATGTTCGTTATAATATTCTAATGTCATAAGGTGTACATCATTACTGCTACCAGCAACGCCGAGAATTTGTTTCTCATTCATGACTAAATTCTTTAGGCATTTAATGTTGTCGTCAAATCGAAAGCTCTTTAACAATTCAATGAGAACATTTAATACTTTCACTAATGAGGCATCTACTGTAGAATTTATATATTGCACCGTTCCATCATTTATGATGGGAACTTGCTTGTTGTAATGAATGGGTCATAAGTGTTAAAAGTATCGAAATCAATGACTTTTTTAGTTTTTCCATCGTCAATGACTAAATCATTGCCTTCAATGGTTAAAGTTGAGTTTTCGTTTACTAGTTCATGTGCTCTTCTTGCTTCATTTGTTTCATACGCATATGCAGCAATAGTCATATTTTAATGAGAATAAAATGTTGTTCTATTTGCAAAGTACAGACCCAAACGAATACGGGACAGTAAAGCTACAAACAAACTTAGGTCTTCAGAATGAAGCGCTTGCTTTCAGAGTTGTTGACTTCAATACTATCGCAACTTTTGTCATAACAGATGAAACAGATTTCATGGAGTTTGAAATAGATGACAAAAGAAGTTTTATAACATTTCCTAACAGAGCAGAGTATAGAATAGATAAAATTGCTGGAGTCATAGATACTCTCATAAATGAAGAAACTATTGACAACATAGATGTCGAACTCTCTTCTGAGGGAACATTGAAGTTCAGTAGCAAGAAAGAGTTTAAGATAACACGAATGAGTCATAGAGTTCAATTGCTTCTGGGAGCATACCATATGACATTTCCTTTGAAAAGTGTTGACAAAACGATTGAGATGAAATCTGTTCCATACGTATGTTATGGCAATTGTTTATACATTGAGTCAAAAATAGCTAATGTCACAGGTATTTCAGGAGTTAATAGTAAAGGTTCAGTAGAATATAAATCCTTCTGTTATGCAGTCAATTCAATGTTCATTCCAAACGTTCCTGTCATAGCAACTCATTTAGGTAAATGGGTTCGCATTAGTCCTCATAATTTGAAAGACATGCAATTCAGACTTGTTGACTTTCAAGGAGAGCCTGTAAACTGAAGGCACCAGTGCGAATGACTGTTGAAGTTGACTTTTTAGAAAATATTAAATGCAACAGCTTACAAGAGAACTCAGAGCTAAAAATATAAAGTATGAATGTTATGTATTAGGTCATGAACTTTGGTTGTTGCTGTTTGATGAAACAAATGAATTAGTTATGTCAGTCAAGAGAACAGAAAAAGGCGTCAAAGGCGCCGAGCGCAAAGCGCTATATTGTGTTAGTGAGAACTGCACCAAGTCAATAAGATTAGGTTTGCATTATGAAGATGAGTTCGATACTGTTGAAGAAGTTTTGGATAGATATTACAAATTGCTTTAATTTACTAAAACATATTTCAAACAAAGTTTATATTCTGTTGAAAGTTTTGTATACTCGTTCGAATATTTATACTTAAACTCAACTCCTGTAGTTCCTGGTGTTTCAATGATGCGGATGTTACCTATTTTCATGAATGGTGGCGTTTGACCACAGCATTCGATTTCAGGGTCGAGATAGTCAATGACACATTGTTTCCCTGTTATTCGTGATATAACATTTTCAAGTCCTCCTTTGTTAGAATTATTTGGTTCTTGCTTATAAGATTTGTCAAAAGCTTCTTATCGTCTTTGAGTAAAATTGTTTGGTATAACTGAAGAAGGTAATGGTCTACGTTATCTGAAGGATTTGTTTGAACATTTGTGTAAGGGTTGTCGTTGGCTTCTCTTGAAAGAACTTGGTCCAGTGGTGGATACTCTAACTTAACATCTGATGTAGCGTTAGCGTTTGAAGCTGAGTTTAAATTCACGGATTTCAGCTCTGGTTCTTTTTCTTTCAAACACTCTGAACTATAGTTCTTTATGACAATATTGTTTGTCGTTCGTGAGTCAACATTTGATGTTGGTTCAATTGGAACATTAACGGCACCAGCTAAGATGGATTTGCTTCTCATTTCATATAGAATAAAAACCTTTTATATGTATGAAATGAACAATATACTCGACAAGGGTTTGAATGTAAAGCTAACGAATGAAAATATTGTTGAATTCACTGAGACAGGTGCTGTGTATAAAGATGTAGAACTACTGAACAAAAGAGCTAAGGGAAGAAGCAGGAATATGAACAAAGGGTGGAAGCCTATAAAAATTTATGTCAATGATGGCTCAGGAGGTTCAAACATAAAGTATGCAGAAAGTTATAGAGTTTATGCTCTCAAGGGAGAGAAGCCTTCATTTAAGAACAGCTATTCTAACACATATCCTCAAAGCTAACGGATGGGGAAGTGGATGATATGAATGACAGCAGAAATATTAACAGAAATGGCGACAGAGATGCATGGAATTTGTTTACCATCAGTCAAATGAAGGTTAAACTTTAAAACAATGTTGGTCGTTCCCATGGAATATTTTTGACTTTAATGGTATTAGTCATGATATGAATCTCAAGGTATGAACGAGGAGAGATGAGAGACTTATATGCTTCCCAAATTTCTTCAAAAGGTAATGTTATACCTGACTGTTTCCAAATGAGTTCAATATCATAACGTGAGAAACCTTGAAAGATAACGAAGTCAGTTATGAGACGTTTTATGTTTAAAGCTAAAAACCTCCATGTTTGCATAAGTATTGCTACAGTTAAGTGGTAATGTCTGACTTTAGTAATGATGTTAGCTAATGGTGAGTCAGGCTTTGACACTAAACCTTTTCCGGCGAAGTCGTCACAAACGAGCAGAGTGTTTGAAGGATATTTTTTGAAGGGGTATTTTGAAAGTTTTGATAGAATGTAGTTTGTCAGTCGTTTCATATCGTAAACTCCTGAGTACTGACGTAAGTGGTGTTTGTCAATAATTCTTTCCATCTCCTCAGAAGTCTTTTGCATTCCTGACTGTATAAATTCAACGATGGCATAATATTTCCTCTTACGTCGAATGTAACGTTGAAGAAATTCAATGAGTTCGCTATCTGGAACTTTAACGACAGAGGCTTGAACTTTTGACATAAATGTTTTCGCTGTTGAGTCCATAGAGTCTGAAGTTGCTGATATAATGATTTGGTCATAATATGAGTCATTTCCTAAACGTTCTGTTATGAGTATATGACGAATGAGGTTAAATGTCTTACCTGAACCCATCTTTCCACAATAGAAATAAACACCATTTGAACAGAACTCATAGTCCTTACTGAAAGGAAGAATAAGAGAAGAGTTAAGTTTGTCTGTAGTTTCATTCATGTCTTCATCTACGTCATGTATTAAATGCTTCATTTTATCTCCATTAAAAATACAAGTCAGAAATATTCAGAACATAGCACCGAGTCTAACTGACAAGAGTATAAAGATATACTATGAACACGTTATGATGAAACCAACCAAAATTCAAGAAAGTCAGTATACTTATGAATATCCAAGACACTGGGTAGAGTATGTAGGAGGTGAGAAAGCTATTGAAATAAGACAAGTTAGAAGTATTCCAGCAGGAAGGACAATATTATTGAAGAACTTTAATGTTTTGAGGTATAATGATGAAACAAAGAAGCAAGATAGTTTTCCTGTTGCTGTGTATGTGAACCTAGACACAGGAGATGACATGAAAGTTTTTAACACAAAGCTTCAAACGGTAGTGAGAGAACAACTGACTGCGGAAGGACATCCATTACCTTCAGAAGTTACCATAGTATATAATTTTGAAACAAATGCAATAGATTTTAAAGTCGTCTCTGCAAAGAAGTCAGGTTTTACATTTAATGAAGCAGATGTATATTCGAATGAAAACTTCAAAGCTATTGCATGGTTAGATAATGACGATTGCTTTAAGAAAATATTTAAATTCAGTGACTCAAAGATGTCAATAGATGACCTTCGTGGAATGTTACCATCGACGTTTACAGTAGAAGGTTCAGCAGGATTGCTTACAAGATTGTCAATTGGTGGTATTTGGTCTCGTGAGAACATTGTTATAAAATCCAGTATAAGTGAATTTGCTGAAGAATCTATATTATGTCTTTCAAACTACATGTATTCGCCGCCGAAGCATTATAGTATAACAAACTTTGTCAGTAAGTTTAACATAAGACTTGTCGAACCTTCTTCAATGAAAGATGTTGTGCTACCTAAAGATGGAAAGGATGGACTCATTATTGAGATGATTTTAATAGCATATTAAATGAGCTTGTTCTTGAAGGTCATTCATGATGAAATAACTGTTGTAGAAGATGTTAGCAATTGTTCAGACATTTTGAAGCGTATAGATGAGATAAGAAAGAAGTTAGATAGCCGCAAAGCGGTGAGGCGAAGCCATGAGAATGTTTATGTTTCATTGACTTTCTCCAGTAACGAGAACTTTTATGAGATAATATTGAAGAGAGATGATTTTAATATGGTGTAAATGGTAGCTTGGACAGCTTTAGGCGCAATGGGAACAAAAGCATTAGCATTTGGAGCAAAAGCACTTGGGGCTTATGACGCAGTAAATAAAATGAGTGGAGGAAGGGTTTCGAAGACATTAGATGCAAATAAAGGGAAGATTGGAGGCTGGGTTGCAAAGAAGTTAAGATTAAATAAAATAGGGCTCATAAATAAAGCATCCAATTTGGTTGCGACTGAGTCAGAAAATGCTTTAGGAAAGGACGATGAGTTTGCAAAACACGCAAAAGACTTTAATGACCAGATGAAAGGTGAAACAATGCATTTAAATAGAGTCGATGGAACTAAAGAAAATGTTTCTTCTCCACCAGCGGTTTATCCATACGGACCTTATGGAATGTATGGAAACCCTTATGAACGACCATTTGACCCATTGACTGGTGGAAGTAATTGGTATTATTATGGACGAAGAAGAAAGACAGTCAAGTTGGAGACAGACGTGAAGAAAGCAACTAAAAAGAAACCAAGGAAGAGAGTTATAAAGCAATGAATTCAACAGGTTAGAAATGAGGTTAGAAAACGTGTTAGATCTAACATTCTAACATAAACATTATTTTTGTGCTATGTTTTCATACGTGTGAGGGTGGTGATATCATTAATTTTTAAGTTTATTTTTTATTTTATTTTTATATAAATGACGAAAACTATTGAGATAACAAACTACAACGGTCATGAGTTCAAGAATTTGTTCTTCGTTCCTCGTGAAAATACATTCTATCAGATACGAGGGAGAAAGGGTAAAGTTAGTTTGAGCGTTTATGAAGGAATGAAGAATGGAAAGTTTATACAAGCATACGATACAAACGGTAAACGTGTTTCATTAGCTTTGTCAAAACTTACTAACATTTATTTTGACAGTGATTTTGACCTATATGAAGAAGAAAGTGAGTCAGAAGATTATGAGCTGTTATGTGAAGCACAGCAATGGGAGGAGTTGCAATACTTTTGTAAGTGAGAACGTTTATTTTTTACATTAGTGAAGTCGTTTGTGAAAACGTTTATTTTTTCATTAGTGAGGTGAAGTGGTTGGCGGCTTTATAAATATTTAAGGTTAAATTAGTGTTGTCGTTTGTGTTGTAAAATATACGTTAACGGTTTTGTAAAGTGTCAAATTCACAAGTATTGCGTACGGAGGAACGCAGTGCCTCCGTACACGAGACTTGTATACTAACTACCAAAACCATTCTGCTCTTGGTGTCATTGACGGTTGTATAAAAATGTTAAGAGACTTAAACCAACCACAAGGTGGTGAAGCAAATGAAATGTCATATGACGACAAGTATAGACACTTCTCCATGGCAAAGATGAGACAAGTTTTAAATATTTACAATAGCCGTAAACAAAAAGGTTTGGGAAACCACTCCCCCGAAGAAATGAAAAACAACCCTGACTTAGAGAAAGACTATATATTTAATAATTTAGTCAAAAGAGACAAACAAGAAAGAATGCCGGGCTTCAAACTTCAGAAAGGTGACAAAGTAAAAATAGAAATACCCAAACGCGACCCATATGAAAATACTATTGACTATGACAACAATGGGAACCCGACAGGTACTCACGTTCGTGTTCGTAAAAATAGAAGAAAGTATACAAGAGAATATTATGAAGTTTTAGGCAAACATGGCAAAATGTACAGACTGCAAGCAGAAGATAAAACTACTATTGTCAGACCTCGTTTCAAACTTGTCAAAGTTCAAGGTGGTATACTTTCAAAGACAGTTCCTAACAAATATAAGACAACTCCTGACGAATATGCTAAAGAAGTTGAAAATGACGACTAAGCATTTCTATACCATGCGTAAACTGTCATGTAAGGTGGCATGTAGTCTTTACTTTGTCCCGTTGTTTGCGTATATCCCGAAACGCGATGTGTATGGTTTCCTCCTCCCTCAGTGTTACTCCAGTAACAATTTATAGCAAACTGAACGTTGTCTTTAACATCATATCCTTTACCTTTTGTCATTGCTGACCAATTCCAATATCTATGACTATGCCAACCTGCTTGAGATGTACTTAAATCTATGTAGTGACTGTGCGCAGGTAAGTTTTCACCTGAAATCGTTTTACTTCCACCTGTTTCCTTTGAAGAGTTTGCACAATACAAAAACCTGTCGACTATTTGAGTCCAAGTTCCAAAACCCAGAACTGTTTCTGGTCTGGTAGAGTTCATTGACGTATAAATAGAGCCTATAGGATATAATGTTTGAAGTATTTCCGTCTTTAATGTTTGAAGCTCTGTTTTGTCTGCTTTCTTGTCATATAAATCTTGAGCAGTGAATTTAACGTTATTTTCATCCTTCATGACATAAACATCTTTACATCTAATGTTTTTCATCGTCGTTATGTCGTCATCCGATGTTAAACCTTGTGGAAAGTTAGGAGGTTTCCAATATAATACATCCCCATCAGGTTCTTCAACCGTTCCTTCAATACTTTCTATACCAACAGTTGTGAAACTTGTATGTGTATGGTTCTTGTCTGCTTTCTTTTCAAGGCTAACGTTTAAGTCTGTTATTTCAGATATAGAATGTGTATGTCCAACGGCACTTTTACTGTTTAAGGTTTCTTGTAAGTTTGTAATATTTGCAATGGTATGTGTATGTCCAACGGCACTTTTACTGTTTAAGGTTTCTTGTAAGTTTGTAATATTTGCAATGGTATGTGTATGAGTCTTTTTAGAATATTCGTTTTCAGCTCTTGTCACTTCACTTGACATTTTATTGTCAACATATGTTTTGTCTGCTAGTTCAGGATGAGTATGTTCTTTTGTTGCATAAGCTTTGTTAGCTCTTTCTTCTTCTTTTGCTATTGCATCGTCTACATATTCTTTGTCAGCTTTGTTGCCAACATCTGCTTTCAAAAGAAGTTCATTTATAGGTTTCTCGTTTAAAGTTCCTTTTGTTGGATTTATACAAACAGTATGGTTCTTATTGTCTTGAAACAGAAACTCATCTGTCATTGGGTTTAATGTCAGTTTTAAGTTTCCTTCTTTCAATGACTCAGATATCTTAGAATAGTTTGAAAAGTTTGTTGTGTTCTTATTTAGAGCTTGTATAATGAGTTGTCGGTTGTGTTGTATTTCTCTCATAGACGCTGTTTCATTTGACATTTTTATTCTAGATAAAATATGCTTTCAATAGAAAAAGAAAATTCAAGAGTTGCTACAACTAAACCATTAGATGAACTTTTTACCAATGTCGGTCAAAAGTTTGAGACAGAGACCGTAAAGCATGAAGGCTATCGTTTTGACTACCCGTTAAGATGGTTAAGAGACCCATCTGTCACAAAAGCTATTGGCTTTCGTAGAATGAAGTTCATTTCAGAAGCCATACATGGTTTCCCATTTACAGTCGGTTTTGAAGTTCGATACTATAACAAAGAAAAACGTATGTATGAGAAATTTGAACAGGGAAAACTTTTACAAGTGAATTTGCTTGTAAACTTAGAAACAACTCTTCAAGCTTTTCAAGAAAAAATAAACGACATCTATATCGAATATGCAAACCAGTATAACATTGACGAGGGAGAGTACCATCTCGATATTATATATGACAGGAAAAATGCAACTGTTAAAATCAATAGAATAGAAGACCTTGGAGAAAACGTTTATATTTCTACAAAATATAACAACTTGGCATGGTATAGATTTATGAGGATGTTAAATCAGCCTGCAGAATATCCAGTACACCCGGACTTTTATGAAGTCGAAAACCCTAATGGAATATATGAAAATGTTTTCGACTCAGATGCTATTATCGTTCATGCTTCATTTTCTGGTGCACAAAACTCTTTTTTATGCTTGGCAAATGACTTTTACGAAAAACCTACAAAGTTATACGAACCACCAAGTGGAAGTATTTCAGACTTTCAAGTATGGTTTACAACAGATGGAAGAAAGAGAATAGTTCCATTATACCATGCGTTGTACTTAGAACTTAGTTTCATATACAACTACTATCGAACGGTAAAAATATAATTTTTAATACGGTTGAGGTGTTGGATTTGGTTGCCAACTTGACTGTGGTGCAGGTTCAGGCTGTTGTATAACAGGAGCTTGTTCTTCTGGTTCAGGGTCTTTAGGTATAATACCAACGAACTGACCTACTCTTTTACCAATATTTTTGACTCCGTTCCAAATTCCTCTTCCTACGGTTTTTATTCCATTCCATATACCTCTTCCAACTCTTCTGAAGAAGTTTCCAATACTACTGAAGAAACCCATTTTACTATATGTAAAAATCTAATGTCCACCTAGTCTCTTACGTTTCCTGTTGAGTTCCATAGCATTCTTTAACTGGAGCTCATACATTCTGTTTCTCCTCTGGTAGAAAACATATTCTGGGTCAACTCCTGTGTTCGCGTCATCTGCATAAAGTTGTTTATATCCCACTTCAGGGTTTGTATAAAACTCTTTCCATCTCATATTTGCATACCATGGTGGCAAACCTAACGCAGCGTCATTTGACATGGCAGTTTGCATTTGTACATCTGTTGGCACTTGACCATAGTTTGCCATTGCAGTTTGTATTCTAACTTCATTTGGAATATTCTCTGGGTTTGGTTGTCCAGGTTGCTGTGCATTCGCTAAGTTCTGTGCGTCCATTTAATATTAGATAAAAATATCTCTTACGAGTACATATGCTGAACATTTGCAGGCATTGGTTCATCTTCATATTCTCTATATCTTTCTGCCACGTCAAATAAATAAATGACACAATGGAAAAAACCTAAAACAAGTAGTCCTATTTCAAACCACATTTACTTACTAGTAAAATTTCTTTGTTATGACACTTTCTCCGGTTTATAGGACCTCTCTCATATTCTATCTTGTCATATCTAAACTCATAGTCATGTATGTCCTCTAACCATCTCATGACACTTTCCAAACCACTTTTATCGGATGTAAAGTAAAAGCATGGACAGTTATGTAAAACGTCTAAAGTTTCTAAAGAGTCTCTCAAAGTCCAGTCTACTTGGTATTGAAAATCGCATGTGTTATAGAACGGCGGGTCCACTATAAAGAAAACATTTTCCTTGTCTTTATATTTTTCATACAACTCTGTCCAACGACATCTCACAAACTCTATACCCTCAATATATTTTTCTATGTCCTCTTTGAAAACATTTGTATAGTTAAGATATAAAACATTTGACATAAGTGTTTCAATGTCATGAACTCTTATAGAACCACTATATAATAGTCTAGCAGATATACTATCCCAGTCTATATATTCTGCTTTTTTCAAAACCTCTCTCACAATATTTTTGTTATCTAATGGTATACGTTCCATCTTACCTATAGGTATCTTTTCTTTTAACTCTTTCAATATGTTGTTTGTGTCTGGTATATGTTTGAGACGGTCCATATAGTTGTCGAAGTCATTGCATATAATCTTTGAGTCTGGGAATATTGTATGGCACAAATGGGATATATAGAAACTTCCACCGAACAAATCTACAAATGTTAGACCATTCGGTAGTTTCTTAAGTTCTCTCAATATAATATCTTTACATTTACTCTTATTTCCAAAGAACGGTAACGGTGGTTTTGTAAAATTCATTTATATATAATAATAAAAATGTTTTTTCCTGAAAAGTGACAGAAAAGGCTTCTCAAAGTATACTTCCTTGGAACGCCTGTAACTTTTCCTGTAGCGACGATAGACCCTTACTTGTCCGGACAAAGTTATACTAAACATCTTCGGGGCTAGAGGGCGCAACGCGCCTGGAAGCCCCACTACCTTTTTTTTTTTTTTTTTTTTTTGATTTCTAAAATACATATGTGAGATGAAAACAAAGACGCAGAGTTAATCGTAATTTGAACAATTTCTATATATATTTTTTCAATAAACATTAAATGGAAGAATTGCTGCATCATATTGGTATTGAATTTTAGATTTATAACATTTTTATGAATTCGCAATTACAACAGCCTAATATACGCATTCATTTTCATTTGAATTCTAAGCTTCTAAACTAACTTTCTTTTCGCAAGGAATACAATTCAAATTAACATCTAATAATAAACGAGTTTCCTAATTAATACATTTTTTTTGGAAATTTTTCATTTCAATTTTTAGTATTTACTTAGAGTAAATACTTCTAATATCATAGACTAGTTATCCATAATTAATGGAAGCTATATAAACGCTTTCTTTGATCAATTGATGATGTCCAGTATTAGATGAGCTAAATTCTCGTTTAAAACATTACAAAATTCAATAAAATAGAAATCTTAAGAGATACAATAAGGAAGTCAATTTGGAAAATTGTTTTCACTTTAGGAGAATATAATTTTCCATTTGGAAAATTTTAAAAGTGAGACGCGCAGGATTCGAACTTTTTTTAAAAGTTGATTTAAATGAATTTTAGTGTGGAATATAAGGATAATATCATATTTAAAATAAGAATATACTAGTTTAGGTGGTATTAATTTTTTCGATAAATTTGAGAGTATGTACGTTTAGGGCATGAAAAGTGTCAATTCGCTCAGCGAAAGCTGAGCTAGCTTCGTTCTCGAAAGAATAAGGAAGGAGTGAAGGAGAATGATACAGAAGTTGACACATTCATATCATTTCAACAAATTTTGATCAAATTGAAATTCAATAAAATTCAATTCAATTCATATCCTTCAGTCAGTACATTGATATCCTTCTGCATCACAATGATAACTCGGGCATCAATAGTTCTACAACTAACTCAGAAAAAACAAGATTATTACTTCCTGCTTACAGCTTTTAAAAAGTTTCGATGATAAAAATCACTCTACTCTCGTTTATCGACATATGGTGATAGTAGGTAAACATATTCTTATCGATATTAATAAAAATATTTTTACGAAAATCTTATCCAATTAGAGAGTTATTCATAAAGTATATGATAATTATAATTACTTTATCTTTGTTTTATCTTTGAATAAACAATTTAATTTAAATTGCATAATATTTTTTGGTTGAAAGACAGGAAACTTAGTTGAGTTTGTATTATTTTTATCGTTTAATTCATTGTATCAGTGAGTGATCCAGATATTTAAGATATTTAGAAAAAAAATTATTAATTTGATTAACAAATTTTAATCAAAATAGCAAAAATCTATTTGATAGCTGTAAACAAACAATAATTTTTATTTCAAGCAAAATCACTTATTTTCATCTAAAACGTATAAAATTGTCAATTTTATGAAAATAAATTGAAAATCTCATGAAATGTAAAGGAGAGTAATATTTTTCAATTTTCTTTTTTTCTTTGTCTCAAATATTTTCTGTTGGGAATTTTCTTGTTATCAAAAAATAATTTTAATATTTGTTTATTTCATTACATACAATAAAATTTTAAAAACTCTATTTCTTCTCAAGAAAATTTTTTCCTTCATATGAAGAAACATTTTGTTCTCCATTTGATACTGAGTCTAAATCTCGATTTTTGAATTTTCTTCTTTCCAAATTTTTTTTCCAAATTAGAAGTTTAATTCAAATTTTCAATAGTTTATATATTTTCTCAAACTGTCTCAGATTTTCTCACTTTTTAGGGATTTTCTCTCAAAATATACAAAAATAGTAATATCAATACATGTGTCTAATATACTTTAAAACCATCGTGACAAAATTCAAAAACGAAGAGTTCTTCTCTCCAATATAGATACAAGGTGATGTGAATTTTGCATCCCTGGGATGGACGATACACCCAAAGTGTCACCTTTTTGGGATAACAAAAATTTATATATATGAGAGTTCTGCAAATCATATGCACAATATCTATTCTGCCTGACTTCTTGTATATAGGAGTCAGGCTGAATAGATATTGTGCATGTGGCAATATAAGTATTTCCGAGATTGCCATCGTGCGCTATAGTACACTACTTCTCCTTGGTCCTAGCTCGGTTCCAAGGATATCGGTGTTCAAGGATTTGGCAAGGTCCTTCTGAAGTCTCTCATTCGATGAGAGATTTCGGAAGAACCTTGCCTTAGAGTATTCCAACTCTTGTTCTCTTGTCCCTGAATAGTCAGAAAAGCTATTTGACTACTTAAGGCAGAGATTATCCGAGGTCCCTCATTTGATGAGAGGCCTCGGATAATCTCTGCCTTAAAGTTGTACACTTGTAGTCCATCAGAATGTAAGTATACACGGATAGGACAGCTTTCTTCTGAAGTCTTAGATTTGATGAGAAGCCTCAGAAGAAAACTGTCCTATTTTATAATAGGAGGAGTTTCAGAAGCTCCAGAGCTCCCTTTCGTAAGGAATAGGAGCTTTGGAGCTCCTGGTTCGAAGATGTGCTTCGCATCTTTCATCAGCATAGAATATTTATCAACTGGGACTCTGTTGATGAAGACTCAGGAGCTCCAAAGCTCCCTTTCGTAAGGATTAGGAGCTTTGGAGCTCCTGGTTCGTAGATGGGCTTCGCATCTTTCATCAAAAGAGGCCCAAATGGTAAATATCCTCTGCTGATGAGCTTCAGGAGCTCCAAGGCTCCCTCTCGTAACGATTAGGAGCTTTGTAGCTCCTGAAGGTAAGGTAGGATTGCTCTGATCTCTAATCAGTAAATGCCATGCCTCATTATGGACTCTACTGACAAGAGATCAAGAGCTCCAAGGACTCCCTTTTTAGCTAGTGGCATTCTCACCATTTAGTAGGATCGCTGATCCTACTAATGAAGTGATCACTTAATATACGTTTTGAATAAATTGAATTTTTTTACAAAAATTTAGTATTTTTTATAAACATCACATATATATTATAAATACGTAAATATATTCTTTAATTCAAAAAATTCAATTCGGTTTCGGGCTGGGTATCCCAGCCCCAAGTATTCAATTTTATTCAATTTTTTTAGAATTTTGGGTTGGGGTGCCCAGACCAAAACAAACTTTATATTTTGATGTGTAGATGCGTATGTGTACATCATTATTGCGTTATATATTATAGTTTTAATGAAAAAATCTGATTCAAAAAAAATTATCACTAATTAGTTGATAATATAAAGAAAAAATATATAAATTGTATGTTTTGAGAGTATTTATCCACATTCACTCATATGAATTTCATTAAATAGTGTCTTTTTACTCCAAAATTTATTTTGAATTATTGAAATCAAAGAAAAAAAAACTAGAAAAATTTCTCGAAATTTTTATTTTTAAAAAAATTTTGGATTTTATATTAAAAACTGACACTGGGAGGACGATAGGGCTGGGATTAGAGATACCCCGCTCACTTGGGAAAAATACGGATCTATACTCTCCAAATTTTTTTCAAAATCAAAAAAATGAGATAAAAAAGTACGTTTGGAAAATTCATTTTTCGCATTTTAGGAATTTTCTCACTTTTCTTCCAAATTGACATCCTTAGATACAACCATATTAAAATGTTAAACGTTGTAAATTAAAATATTTTATTACAAAATTGATCGGAAAGAATACAATTTAATGAGAAATCACTAAGCTGATTCATCTCCTATTTTTAAATAAGTAGGTTTATATCCGATTTCGTTATAACAATTTGACGCTTTATTTTTTGAATTAAAAGTGCCTCAGTATAAAAAAATTGTAAGAAATCAATTGAAAAATGCCTCAACAGAAAAATATCAAGATTTAATAGCATTATTAGAGTATATTAAAATTATATAAAAGACGTTTCAGTTTCATAAAATTTTAATTGAAAACTGTTTTTATAATTTTATGAGCACATCTCCGAACAGCTTTACTAACGAAGAGTTATCTAAACTATATAGAGCCAAGTGTAATGACACAAATACCAAGGAAAGTGAAAGAGGAAAGACTCTTTTCATTCGCAATTATTCGAAATTACAATTTAACAAGTCAATCAACTTTGCAAATGCAGGTTTTGGTTCAGAATCATTCACAAAACTTCTAAATATCATTCCTACTCATCCAACAATAAGGGTACTTAACCTTTCTGGAAATTCAATTGGACAAAATTCTGTCTCATTATTATCAAGATATATTTCTAATAATAAAGATTTGATACAATTAGATGTTTCATCATGTAATCTAAATGATCAGAGTTGCGCAATTTTATTTGAATCATTAAAATTTAATAAATCTTTGATAGAATTATCAATTAAATCCGATTCAACAATTGGAAGGAACTCAATTGGAGAAAAAGCATCTTATAAATTAGCTGAAATGCTCCAATGTAACAAAGTTTTATCAACTCTAAATATTGAAAACTGTGAAATCATAGAAAAGACGATTATGACGATAGCCGATGGAATTTCAAAGAATAGCACGATCAGTTCTCTTATTTTATCTCATAATAATATTAAATCGAAAGGAATTTCGTATCTTCTTGGCAAAATCAACGAAAGTAAGATAACTGAGCTGTATTTATCATCTTGTTCCTGTGGAAATGATAATAGCAATGCGTTTTCAAAATTATTTGCAAATAATCGAAATATTAAAATTCTTGACATCTCACATAATGCATTCACAGAGAAATTCCTCAAAAATATAGCAATCTCATTAGAGCAGAGCACAGTTGAAGTACTTATTCTTTCGCACAATGATTTTTCAAGAGGAGATTTAATTTATTTAGCAGATCCTCTTATACACACTCCAATAAGATTGATCAATTTAACAAAATGCAGCCTTAATGGCAAGGATTTGAAGAGATTCAACAATTTCTTTAGAGAAAATCAAACTTTGCAAGAATTCATTGCAGATCATAATAATTTTTATTCATATGATGGTATCGCATTAGCAGAGTTTGTTCAGTCAAATCCATCGCTCAGATACCTTTCTTTCAATCAATGCGAAATGGAAGATAAAAATTTTGAGCCAATGTTCAAAATTATGCAAGATCAATGTTCAATCACAAGATTATCTCTTGTTTCAAACTCGATAAAGAAATCTGAACCAATTATTAAGATTTTAGAAAAAAATAAAAATATTATTAAATTTGATTTGGAAAAGAATGATATCAATTATCAAGAAGTTGTCCAGATAGAAAAGATGATCAGCGGCAATCGCAAAAAACAATATAGTTTTAATAATATTATTGATTTAACTCCAGAACTCTGCAATCTTAGGGGAGAAATAACACACCAAAGAGGAAAACTTAGTTCACTGAAAGAGAAGAGAGAATCTCTTGAAAATGATGCAGAAAAGGCAAAAGAACAATTGATAGATGTCAAAAAACTTGAAAATGAGCTTGAAATGAAAGCAAAGCAACTTGCAGCAGATTTTGAAGAACATGCACAACAAATAGATCAAGTAATTTGGGAGAAGGAAGTTGTAGATACAAATTATGTTCAGCTTTGTGCACAGTTTGATGCAGAAGTTGCAAGACAGGATCATCTCGAAACAATGTTGTATAACTTAAACAAGGAAATCAAAATAAAACAGAATCAAACTGAAGAAGAGATGAAGCAAATCGTGGCTGATCTCTCTCTCAAAATGCTCGCATATGTTCAAGCGAAAGACAAATTTATGGAGACTTGGGAAGTTTCACATCCAAAGAAACCAAAAACAACAAAGAAGAAAAAGAAGAGTTCTGCAGGTATCAAGAAAGTTCCAACAAGAATTGCAGATACTGGTATTTTGTTAAAGCCAATCAAGAAATAAATAGTTTGTTTTATTTTAAAATATTTAACTCTTTTTGTTCTGTAAAGTCCTATCAAAAGATATTTTCTTTATTCATTTTTTCACATAATCAAAGCATGCCTTTCTTTGATTATTCTTAGCATCTTTATCTCATCTTAGGAATTTAAATATTGAACAACATGAAGCAGCTTTCACATCATTATCCCATCATTTAGATTTCACCATCAGATTATAATTTTCTGCACAGAAAAGAGCAGCTTTAATGTGGTTTTCTTTTTCATTCAAATTTGCATTATTTGATATATGAAGTTCGGCTGTTTCATTGCTATTATAAAGTGCTGCAAAATGAAGAGCAGTTTCTCCATTTTTATTTTTATCATTGGGTTCATGTGAAATAAAATGCAACTGATGAATTGATGTGATGATTATAGACGCTTCTCATTTCACTATAACTGCGTGGATGAGTGTTTTGTTCGGACACTAAACTGAAATGATATGCCATGCAATACCATATTGCACCCTATATGATATCCGAGATTTTCTACTTATAATTTATGATGAGTGTAAGATTTCTTTTTTGACACATTTTTTACAAACGAAAAAAATTCAGAAAAAGACGTTACTGTGAATGACGAGTACTGCAACCATCATTCATGCTACGTCAACAGCACTTCAGACTCCTGGTCCAGGAGCATATGTTCCACCATCAACATTCGGAAATGAATCTCCGAAATATACAATTAGACATCGACTAAAAAATAAAGAAAATGTAACAGGAATACCATATCAAGCTATTCCATCAGAATTTGGAACTGGACACAAGTATACATTCGGAATTCGACCAAAAGAGAAAGAAAGAGAACAATCTCCAGGTCCAAATTACGTTCCACCACAATTCGGATCAGATGCACCAAAAACAACATGGCACCCTAGAACAGTTTCCAAAGAAATGGCTCAATCAACACCGGGACCTCTGACATATGATGATCCAACCAAAAAATCTTCTCCAAAATTCACAATGAAAGCAAGAAAATTTACTAGAGATGAAGGAGTTATTGATTCACCAGGTCCTGCAGCATATATGCCAAATTATTCAGTTGTTCTACCAAGTGCAAGAAGAAATACAATTCATTCACGCAGCCCAGATCCTAAAAACAAATTCGTTACCCCAGGTCCATATGATGTAAAGGATCTTGACAAGCCTCATGGCATTTCATTCCACTTTAAACATAAAGAGCCAAAATTTGATCAAACACCAGGTCCTAAATATCATACTGAAAGACAAACAGGTGCTGATGCTCCAAAACTTACAATCAGACCACGCTATGCTACAAAAGAAAACATCCTTGCAGCTCCATATCAAAAATATCCCGAAATTTTCGGTACAGGAAGTCCAAAGAGGAGTTTTGGCATTAGACCTGCAGAATCAAAGAAGGAAACAACACCAGGACCCAACTATATGCCTCCAGAATTCGGTTCTCAATCTCCAAGAATTTCATTCCATTACAAACCTCAAGAACCAAAGGCAAAGGCTACATCTCCAGGTCCAAACTACCTTCCAACAGATACTTCTGAAAAAAGATACACAATCAAAGGTCGTAATTTCACTCCTGACGAAGGGAAGATTTCTGGACCAGGTCCAGGTAAATACATGCCTAATTACGATCTCACTTTGTCTTCTATCCCTAAGATGTCAATCCACGGCCAAATCACTTCATCTAGAAAACAGGAACAAACTCCAGAACCTCTTGGACCATTCCCTAATGATACAGGACCAAAGTATACAATTGGAAGAAAAGATTATCTTTCTGTTATTCCTGGCTGCGTTTTTTGAATTATTTTACTAAAATTGTTATTTTTATTATTGTAATATTGTACTTATTAACTAATGAAACATAATCTTTTATTGTTGTAATATTGTACTTATTTGTTATTAAAATTATCAAAAATTCATCAAAATATCCAATTTAAAAAAAATCAAATTTCAAATATTAAATATATGAAAATTTAATTCAATGCTTGAGACAATGAATTCATGCTCATTAATTGATATATTATTATGATTTTAAAGTCTATCATCAAAATCTTTTATTTTTTCAGTGATATTACAATTGCATCAATCAATGTATTAACTAATTTCAACTCAGTATATTCGAATTTTTACTAGTTTTTATAAATATTGGAGAATTCAAGAATATTAAATATAATTTTTTGGAAAAATTTAAATAGAATATATATAGTTTATTACAAAATAAATATATAGACATATAAAAAACTTATTTTGGAACCAAATCAATCATTGGATGAATAATTGTTGGATTTGTGACTTCTCCTCTCCAATAAGGGATAAACATTGCACCCATCTGCATATCTTCGTTGATAACAGAGATGTGATAAGGGCTTCCCTCGAGAGGAATCTTTGAAGGGTCTGCTCCGATTTTGAGCAGAGATCTTCCGCATTCGAATCTTTTATAATACGCAGCATAGCTCACCGCACCCCATTTTCCAGCATCCAAGACATTTAAGTCTTCTGTGTTCAATCCGACCAATAATAAAATTGAGACGTCTCCAACAGCTGCTGCCATATGGATAGGCTGGATCGAATCTAATACAGAAGGATCTGTGATGTTTGTTTTGCCTTTGAAATGCTCAGAAAACTTAATTCTGTTGGCAGGAGATCTTAATTGTCCAGTGAGAACGCATTTCAAGACCAAATCGAAGTTCTTTGTTTCTATTGCCTCAAATATGTCTTCTTTGCACTTCTTTGCGAACTCTAAGTCAACATATTTAGCTCGAATCAGTTTATCTCTGTCCATTTTCTCTGGAGGCTTGCGCGCTGAACACAAGATCGAATTCAACTTGTCGTTACCGATTTTATGTACCATGGCAAGCAAATCATCATCTAACCGGTCAAGAGTTAATGATCGTACTTTTGAAAAAATGACACCTAATGAACGATGAATTCCAGAACAATGGATACAGATTGATCCTCCAGTGTTTATTGAGCACCATGTAGGATGTTCTGCTCCGCAGTCGCAGCATGTCTTGTCTTGATGCTCTGTTTCTTGGGTCGGGTTCGAATCTTGGTGATCAATGCTGTAAGTCACGTTATTTTGTATTGTTGACATCCAGCGGTCGAGTTCCTTTTCATCTGTGCACTGGAAAATCCATGTATGTTGAGGTGAAGTGACTCTGAAAACATTTGGCCTTCCGTTATCTTTATCCTTCTTAACTGATGTTGTAAGCAAGTCTATGCTTCCTCGCATTTCGTAATCAAGGCCATCAGTTTTGTAATAAGAAAACTTTTGATCTTTTATTGTGATAAATCTCGAATGCCAGATCCTTCCAAAGCCACTGCTGCGCTTCCAAAGGTATCCTTTCATGTTAAGTGACGGCGGAAGTTCGATATCTACAAGGCCTTTGATCGTTTGTTTTGTTGTCATCGTTTTTACAGCGTAATCTTTGAGTTCATCCACATAAGTTGGTATCGCAAGCTGTAATGCACTGAATTCATCTTTAGAAACATCGTAATTGAATAGGCAATCTCTCATAGAAACTGCGAGCATGTTTAAAAACATTAATAACTGTGTGTTAGTACATATTTAAGAAAATACCCTTTAAATATGAAAGATTTTTTAAATAACATCTTTTTATAAAAAAAATGTAGTAAAAATTTTTCATATTTTAAGAGTATATTGAAACATACTGTTGCTGTTAACTCATATGAGTTCTTTCGTTCGACTAGTTCAAGTGATCGTTGAAATTCAAAATTTGATAAAGCTGCTTCAGCTTTTAATGCGTTAATGTATCCTTGGTTTTGCGAATCACGCGATTTTGATGATAATGCCTTATCAAGAGCCGAAAAATAGTTTGATTTTTTAGTATTAGATTCTTTATGAATTTTTTCACAAACAGAGATTTCGTTATCCACAAATTTTTGTAATTGTTCTATAACTGAATGCTGAACCTGGTTAAAATGATCTGAAAGAACGTTTTGACAATAAGTGATGCATTGCGCTATGTTAGAAATAGTTGGATCCGATGAAAATGATCCGCATTCCAAGAATTTTTTCGAAATATTTTGAAGAGAATTTGCAAGTGTTGATCCTGCTGAAATATACGTTTTAAATGCTCCAATTGTGTACATAATATTCTGTTTTAGCTTTAAAATGTTTTCAAATCGTTTATTCTGCTCTGAAAGATGCATAGGGGAAAGCATTATATATTCATACTCTGAATTCATTTTGAAATTATGATTACAAAATCAGCGATGTAAAAAGTGACAAATAAAATTCCATAACATCAATAATCTCAACAATGACATAATAGTGTGATATTTATAAAAATTTTTATTTTATCTATAATTGAATAGATTGAATTGTTTACGACAGTATTTTTTGACAGTAAAATCCCGGTCAATCTTACCATTTCGAAGTTAAAATACGTTCAAAAATATGTAAATCACTCGTATAAAAAGGAAAAACGTTTTTATAATGACTTATTGGGAAAATTTATGATCATTTTAAAAAGCTTTCACATTATAAGCATGACAAAACAAATAACCACAGATAACAAATTAGTTCGTTAATTTAATTTATGTTCAAATGACAATTATTTAAACAAAGAAAAATAAAAATGCTATTTGAATTTCGTTAACAAAATAAATAATAATTACAGTTTTATTAGTCATATTTAAACAAAAAATAAAATTTAGCGTTTTCTAAACATGAAATTTAAAATTGTTCCTGCAGCCAAACCAGCAGCAGCAACTCCTCCTACAACTAATCCATTTGTAACTATCTGATTGCCTTGTCCATTTGTTTGATGATTTCCGTGACCATTCATCATCATATTTTGATTACCTTGGCCATTCATCATCATATTCTGATTGTTTTGTCCATTCATCATCATATTCTGATTACTTTGTCCATTCATCATCATATTCTGATTGTTTTGTCCATTCATCATCATATTCTGATTGTTTTGTCCATTCATCATCATATTCTGATTACTTTGTCCATTCATCATCATATTCTGATTACTTTGTCCATTCATCATCATATTCTGATTACTTTGTCCATTCATCATCATATTCTGATTACTTTGTCCATTCATCATCATATTCTGATTACTTTGTCCATTCATCATCATATTCTGATTGTTTTGTCCATTCATCATCATATTCTGATTACTTTGTCCATTCATCATCATATTCTGATTACTTTGTCCATTCATCATCATATTCTGATTACTTTGTCCATTCATCATCATATTCTGATTACTTTGTCCATTCATCATCATATTCTGATTGTTTTGTCCATTCATCATCATATTCTGATTACTTTGTCCATTCATCATCATATTCTGATTGTTTTGTCCATTCATCATCATATTCTGATTGTTTTGTCCATTCATCATCATATTCTGATTACTTTGTCCATTCATCATCATATTCTGATTACTTTGTCCATTCATCATCATATTCTGATTACTTTGTCCATTCATCATCATATTCTGATTACTTTGTCCATTCATCATCATATTCTGATTACTTTGTCCATTCATCATCATATTTTGATTGTTTTGTCCATTCATCATCATATTCTGATTGTTTTGTCCATTCATCATCATATTCTGATTACTTTGTCCATTCATCATCATATTCTGATTACTTTGTCCATTCATCATCATATTCTGATTACTTTGTCCATTCATCATCATATTCTGATTGTTTTGTCCATTCATCATCATATTCTGATTACTTTGTCCATTCATCATCATATTCTGATTACTTTGACCATTCATCATATTTTGATTCATCATCATGTTCTGGTTGCTGAGCTGATTCAAGGAAGGTTGAGGAGTCATTATTTGTGGAGTGCTAATTATAGAATGCTGATAGCTTTGTTCAGTTGATGGAATTTGTTGGCTTATCATTGGTTGTGGATAAAACATTTGAGGATGCATTAATTGTGGATAATAATAAGGTGGAGCAAAAACAGGAGATTGGTAAGGAGGATACACTGGTGGCTGGTATTGTTGGTGAGGTGTTGGTAAATTAGGAATTTCGACATATCCTGATTCTGTTTTGATATAAAGTTTTCCATTACTTTTCTCTGAACTTGGTTCTGTGATTTTATTTGGTTTTGGAGTGAAACTCAATAGATCTGGAGATGAATTTTGTGAAATGCTTTCTCTTGTATCTTCATACTCGGATATCTTTGATGTTTTATTAATTTTTCTTGGACTTACTCTTGGAATTTCGAATTCATCATTTTCAATTGAAATTTGAGTATTTATATCCTTATTTTCAATTGAAATTTGAGTATTTATGTCTTTGTTTTCTACTTTATCTGCTTGAGTATTTCTGTCTTTGTTTTCTACTTTATCTGCTTGAGTATTTACATCCTTATTTTCAATTGAAATCTGAGTATTTATGTCTTTGTTTTCTACTTTATCTGCTTGAGTATTTATATCCTTGTTTTCTACTTTATCTGTTTGTGTATTTATGTCTTTGTTTTCTACTTTATCTGTTTGTGTATTTATATCCTTGTTTTCTACTTTATCTGTTTGTGTATTTCTGTCTTTGTTTTCTACTTTATCTGTTTGTGTATTTATATCCTTGTTTTCTACTTTATCTGTTTGTGTATTTCTGTCTTTGTTTTCTACTTTATCTGCTTGAGTATTTCTGTACTTGTTTTCTACTTTATCTGTTTGTGTATTTATGTCTTTGTTTTCTACTTTATCTGTTTGAGTATTTATATCCTTGTTTTCTACTTTATCTGCTTGAGTATTTATATCCTTGTTTTCTACTTTATCTGCTTGAGTATTTCTGTACTTGTTTTCTACTTTATCTGCTTGAGTATTTATATCCTTGTTTTCTACTTTATCTGTTTGTGTATTTCTGTCTTTGTTTTCTACTTTATCTGCTTGAGTATTTCTGTACTTGTTTTCTACATTATCTGTTTGTGTATTTACGTCACAATGATTATTTTTCAAGATAATTTCAGATGAATTTACTGTGAATTCAACTGATTTTCCACTTATCTCTAATTTTGGATTATAATCTTTTTTACGTGGTTTTTGATCTCTTTTTTCATCTTGTTTTTCATCTGTATCATGATCTATATCGAAATAACCCTTACTAGTTGAATTTCCTGGTTCTCTTGAATACTTAGAACCAAATGAAAATACTTTCTTTAAGTCTTGTATCTTTGCTTTTGGTACATCTTCAATTTCATTTTCTTCTTTTTCAGTAACACTGAATGGTGCCTTTTCTATTTGCGTTGTATCATCATCAACTTGAGTGTTGTCCTTTGGTTTAGCCTTTCCAAATGTTCTCTGTGAATTTGCAGTTGTTTTTGGTGGAATTTCTTTTTGTTTTGAGATTATGTTGGTGACTTTTGGTATTGATGATCCTTTATTTGATGATTGTTGTTTAGATCCCATTTTGCGGAGTAAACTTTGAACATCTCTATTTTTCGATGAAGGAAGTGAATTTGATACATGTGTCATTGGCTTTTTAGTTTGTTCTTTCTTTTCTGGTTCTGTAGAATTACGAGAATTAACTTTTTCTTTTTCTTTTTGTTGTAAAGAAATGTTTTGTTGATTGTTTGATAAAATTAAGAAAGGAGTGGGACCTGCATAAATGTCTCCTTCTGGTTTAGTTTGTTCTGATGAATTTTGTTTAGTTTCAGTTGAATTTTGATTATTTTTCTCAGAATTTGGAGTTTTATCTGAAGAAGAAATTGGAATCAATACTAGTTTGGAAGTATCTGCTTTTTCTTCATTTTGTCTTGAATTTTGATCAGAATTATTATTTTTATCTGATTTCGTCTTTAAATCACTGTTTTCTTCTTCTTGTTTTATAGATTTATTATTCTTTGGTTCAGATAATTCTATTTTTTCTTCATTTTGCTTTGGATTTTGTTCAGAATTATTATTTTTGCCAGAAATTGTTGTTTTATCATTTCCTTCTTCTTCTTGTTTGACTGTATTATTCTTTGGTTCAGAATTTTCTATCATTTCATTTGAAATTTGATCAGATTTATTATTTTTCTCAGAAATTGTAGGTACAATATCTCTAGAAACAATAGGAATCAATACTGGCCCGGAAGTCTCTACTTTTTCTTCACTTTTCTTTGAATTTTGATCAGAATTATTATTTTTCTCAGAAATTTTAATTTGTTCGTCAATTTTATCTTCTGAATTATTCGTATTATTCTTTTGTTCAGGGTTTTCAGCTTCCCTTTGACTTGGGTATTCAATAATTGTAATTAAATCTTGATCATCAAAATCTTCCTGAACTTGGTTGTTTTTGGATACCTGTGGTTGATCTTTAGCTGATCTGTTGTTATTTTGTTGATTAATTTTTTGATTATTTTTGGCATCTTTCGTAGAATCATTATTAAGAGTAGATTTAACTTGTTGTTCATTATCTGATTTATTTTCACTATTGTTTTTATCAGAAATTGTTGGAATTTGTTTTGAATCATTATTTTTAATTCCAGATTGGTTCTGATATGAGTCTGCAACAATGGGTAAAGTTAGAAGTGTTTTTCCAGGAGTTGTTGACTTTGATTTCTTATTATGATTTTCAGGAAATGTACTTGGAAGACTAACTACTTTATTATCTTTTCTTTGTTCAGGTACTTCTACTCTTGATGGTTTATTCTTTTGGGATAGAGTTGTATGTGCAAATGTGGAAGATTGTGATTTTTCTGAAAGTTTAACTGGTTGAGGTATTGTCACTTGAGCCTTTCCTAATGTTTCAATAGTTAAAAGTAATTTTCCTTTGTTATTTGTAATTTGAAATCGAACTATTGAGATTTGCTTGCTAAATTGGATAATTTCATAATCATGGTACTTTATATTGTCACATTTTATATAAGAAGGGGTTGAGGATCTTGTTGTACCTCTAATAAACTTTGAAAATTCATCTTTATCATAAGGAATATCGAAAAATAGTTTGAGCAGTATGCCTTTTCCGAATGTATCTTGCTCTAATTTAAAAGAAAAATTATCACCCTTAAAGCAGTTACTATTTTCCCCACTCATGTATTTTTTAAAAAATTGGATGGAATTTTATTTCCTTTTTCCAGAATGGGAAATTCATAATAATATTTTAACTCGCCTAAAACTATACTATTATCAACGGTAATTATTTTGCCGTTTGCTCTCTTTCCAACAATCTCATATAAAACATATTGAATAAAATCTGGTTCAATATGAAATAGATCACTTCAGTTAACTTTACTTGAGCTAAAATATAGAATCTGAAGGCTAAAGCAGGATTTCAAATTAACTAGATGAAAGAATAGACTTCTGAGAACTACATGTACAAGCTATATAGTAACAAAAATGTTAGGCTCTAAACTTAAAAAACAAATCTTGCATGTATTAATAAGTCTTTAAAATCATCGAATTGTAAGGTAGTCACAAAATCTCAGTAGTGAGGCTCTCAAAAATTGAACCGTACTCCATACAAAATTTGTGTACCCTCACTACTTAGATTTTGTGGCCTTCAATTGAGAGGTTAGTTTTGATAGAGCACGTTATAAAATTAAAAGGGAAAAATAAATAAAATTTAAACATTTAATTATCTCTAATGTAAGGAGTGTAATTCCAAATTTTCTAAAAACTATTCAAATTTGAGCATTTTTGGAAATAGTAAATCTAATATGTACATCTAATAACAACATGATTCATCACCTTTTCAAGCTCTGCAGTCAATTTTTTGAAATTTGATTGAAATAAATGTAGCAAAAATTACATTTCATTAGGGAATATATGAGTTTCTCTGGAAACAGGCCGATAAATTTTAAATTTTGTCCAATCAACATGAATGCATTGAGAAATTTGGATTGATTTTCTGGTAGAATCTGGAACAATTCAACCATGTATAAATGGAACATGTAATCATCATGAAATGTTAGTGTTAGAGTTCAAAAGAAACAGAATGAGTGGAAATCAAACACAATCTGAATAATTTTAAACGTATACAATCTTTAAGTTTGTATTTTGAATTCTACATATATGATTATGTAATTCGTTCTTTCAAATTTTCGGATTCAGGCATGTTTTGATAAAATTCATTCCCAAAAACGTCAATTAACAATTAAATTTAGTGTATTTTAAATATATATACGTATTATATTTTATAAATTATATTAAATTCGCAAAATTTTAAGTTTTAAACAAAAATAAAAAATCTTCAAAATATGAAATTATGCATAGGATATTAAAATTTACATGTTAGCAATTTTTTTGAATTGCTTTCAATTTTCATATTGAAATTTTTAAGATTTTTTTCTGAAATAATAAGCAAGAATATCAACCTAAATAATATTAAATTCCATGCGTTAATTTCCCCTCAAAAGTCATTGACCGCCTCTCAATCTAGATTTTGTGAGTACTTTACATGCAAGATTTGATTTTTAAGTTGAAGATGTAACACACTCATTGATTTTATGTCATTTGAAAATCCACTCCAGTTATAAATCAAAAGATATGGAAGAGATTTGATATGTAAACTTGCTTTTGATCAAGCAAAAAGATATTGCTAAACATATTTTATATCATTAAATTATGATGTTTCATGCGAATAATAGAAACTATAAGTTTTGTATGATTACAGTTAAAATAAAAGTAAATATAATTTTAATTTGATAAAAACATACGAATTATGCATTCTGTTTATTGTGGGTCTGCTAGACCTTGTTGTGCTCTTGGAGAAGGCGAAGTCTTAGGGCTGCTTCTAGAAGAATTGAGGGCAGGAAGTTTAGAACCTTCACCAATTGAAGAATTCACTTTTTGAACTCTTGGTTTTCCTCTTCTTTCTTCTATAACTCTTTGTCTTAACTTTCCAATATCGATATCCCATTTCTGTGCGATCTTGGTGAGCTGAGTTGAGTTCTTCTTGCGGAGCTCAGCTTTCATCTGCGCATCACCGCTCAAAGCATCTTGTTTCTTCTTTTCGAGATCTTGTCTCATCTTTTCTTTCCTTTCAAGCTGCAATTTTCTTTCCATTTCTTCGCGTTCGAGTATAGCCATATGCTCATCGTATTCGCGAGCTCTTTCACGAGCTTGTGCTTCATTCTTTGCAGCAATTGTATGTGCGATTCTCTTTCTAAATTCGCGTTTGATCTGGCCTTCAATAGCTCTTTCTTTGAGTTGTTTATCTGACTCTTCTGTTCTCTTTTGGATGACTTCTTCGTGTTTCTTTTCCTTCTCTTCGAAATTCAAACGTTTCTTTTCTGCTCTTTCCTTTTCGATTTGATGGATAAATGTCATTGCTTTATCGTGTTTCTCTTCTTCACGCTTATGCAATTCTTGTGTCTTTGCTTCGACGTTTTCTCTGTGTTTCTTTAATATTTCTTGTGTCTTTTCTTCCTTCTTGTCGCTCTTTTCTTTCTTTTCTTGGAGCATTTTCTCTTGTTTCTTTCTGAGTTCTTCTAATCTCTGTTCTGCAGCTTCTTTCTTTTCTTTGTTCTGTTTCTCGCGTTCTGCGTTTTCTCTTTCTTTTCTTTCTTGAAGTTCTTTCTCTCTCTGCTCAATCTTCTTCTTTTGTTCTTCGGCTTTCTTCTTCTTTTCTTCTTCAGCTTTTTCTGCTGCTTTTCTTGCTTTTTCGAGCTTGTTTCTTCTGATTTCTTCTTCCTTTTCGAACTCTTCTTTCATCTTTTCTTCATGCTCCTTTCTTCTCTTGAGATATTCCTCTTCTTTCTTCTTAAGCTCAGCCATTCTTTGTGCATCTTTCTCTGCCTTTTCTCTATCAGCTTGTTCTTGTTTCATGACATTTTCTGCCATTCTTTCTCTTTCCTCTCTGTGTTTGATACGAAGTTCTTCTTCGTATTTCTTCTTTTCTTCAATTTCTCTTTGTCTCTGGACTTCGTTTTCTTCTTGGATGACCTGTTCTGTGATGATAGAAATCATCATTTGTTCAGCTTCTTTCTTTGATTTTCTTCTGAGTCTTTCGATTCTTTCTTGTTCGATTTCTTCGAATGACTTCTGGTTAGATCTTGATGTTGGAGATGGCTGGCTCTGGCTCATTGATCTAGATGTTGGCTTAGCATCTGGAGGAGGAATTCTTGCCAATCTATCGCATTCTTCCTTGACTAAAGCTCTCATTCTGTCAGTTCTTTCGCAGAGTTGTTTTCTGACTGTTTCTCTGAGATCTTTGTCTCTTGTGTATGCGAAGAGATCTCTATCATTTGGATAGTGCAATTCGTCCTCTCTCAAGCCGAGATTCTGAAGAGCTTCGATTGTCAAAGGATCAGTGAATGGTTCTGGATTTCCTGGATCATAACTTTCGATTGAAACACCCTTGTGTTTTCTGTAAACTTCTCCATCATTTGCTGGTTTCTCATTACGAACTGGTTGTGTTCTTGATTGATTCTTCTGAGGGAATCTTGGTTTTTGCTCCGTTTCGAATGTTTCTTTGTTTTCTTCATCGTTTTGTTCTTCATTGTTTTCTTGATTTTCATCTTCCTTGTTTTCGTCGTCGTTCAGCATCTCGCTGAGAGCTGCACGAGCTTTGTCTGCTGCTGATTCCTCTTGGTTTTCTTCTTGCTGTTGCTGCTGGTCATCACCTGTCAAAGCATCTTTAATTGCTCCTGCCATGTCGAGTTTTTCTTTTTCATCTTCTTCAGCAGCTTTATTAACAGCATCAACAATATCTAATTTCTCTGTTTGCTGTTCATCATCTTTCTTTTCTTCAGCGTTTTCTGGCTTTTCTTCGCCTTCTTTCTTTTCAGCTTCTGGATCATCTGTATCTTTCTTTCCATCAGCGACCAATTTATCAGCAATTGCAGCAACAAGTGGATGATCTTCTTGTTTCTGTTGATCTTCTTCCTTCTTCTTCTCTTCTTCTTCTTTCTTCTTTTCTTCTTCGGCTTTCTTTTTAGCTTCTTCCTCTTCCTTCTTTTTGGCTTCTTCTTCAGCTTTCTTCTTTTCTTCCTCAGCCTTCTTTTGGGCTTCAGGATCTTCTGTATCTCTCTTTCCATCAGCTTGAAGTTTATCAGCTATTCCAGCAAATAAAGGATTTGGATTTGCTTCTGGTTCTTTCTTGGCTTGTTCTTCCTTTTGTTTAGCCTCTTCTTCGGCCTTCTTCTTTGCCTCTTCTTCAGCTTTCTTCTTTTCTTCCTCTTCCTTCTTCTTTGCTTCTTCTTCAGCCTTCTTTTGTGCTTCTGGGTCTTCTGTATCACGCTTTCCATCAGCGACTAATTTATCGGCTATTCCAGCAAATAACGGATTTGGATGAGCTTCGGCCTGTTTCTTGGCTTCTTCTTCAGCTTTCTTTTTAGCTTCTTCCTCGGCCTTCTTCTTCTCTTCCTCTGCTTTCTTCTTTGCTTCTTCTTCCGCTTTCTTCTTTTCTTCTTCAGCCTTCTTCTTAGCCTCTTCTTCAGCTTTCTTTATGGCTTCTGGGTCTTCTGTATCCCTCTTGCCATCAGCTTGTAATTTGTCGGCTAATCCTGAGAATAACGGATTTGGCTTTGGAACATCTCTTTCTTGAGCTTTTGGTTCCTCAGCCTTTGGGGCTTCCTTTTTAGGCTCTTCGGCTTTCTTTTCTTCTGGAACATCGGTATCTCTTTTTCCATCTGCCTGTAATTTGGCAGCAAGGCCTCCAAACAAAGGATTTGGTGCTGGGGCATTATTGTTGTCAATAGAACGCTCCTGAGCCTGAGATTCAGCAGCGCCTCCTTTAAGTAAGGCTTTAACGTTATCTGGAATATCGTTATCTACAGCCTGCTGCTCGAGGGGATCAGGAGTTCTTTTTCCGATATTGTCGAGGAGAGACTGTTTGACTGGTGCTGCAGTAGGGGCGGATTGATTTTCGTTGTCATTCTTATCGTCGTCATTTTTCTCAGTCGTAGCTTTAAGGAGGTTACTAAGAAGTCCTCCTGAAACTACTGATGAATCATTTGCTTGATTTCCTTGTGTATTTGATTGATTTTGATGGTCGTTATTTGCAGAGTTTGAAGAATTTTGTTGATTTTGATTAGCATTTTCTTTGCTTGGTGCAGGTTCTAATAATTTATCTAAAGCGCTGTGACCTTTTTCTTCAGCTTCTTCATCAAAATCATTAAAGCTCGAATAACTATTCAATTCACTAGCACCTTTTGATTCCTCAGGAGAAATATTTGGCTTACTAGATTCATTATCAATGAAATCATCAGATGGTTCATTAATTGCAGACATTGATTCGCGCAATTAACATTCGAAACCGTTTTTTTCGATAAAAACGAACTCAAAACTATTTTTTCCAAGTATAATTATCTGTATACAAAATCCAGATCAAACCTTAATATTTATGCTTTCAATGTCTCGATTTTTTTGAAGCGAAGATAATCGTAAAATTTATTTTGTCGCAGTAATAGAAAACTATCTCTACACAATTATTTTGCATTTTTTAAATTTTATATTCTTCAGAAAAATTTATTTGAACGAAATTAATGTTTTAAGAAAAATCAATATATGACATATGTACAAACATTTTTTGATAAAATTTCTTCGTAAAGAAAAAGAGTTACTATAAAAATACTTTTCATTGCTTGGATTTAAATGAAATCTAAGCGCTTCCCCATTTGGCGAAATTTAAATGGGTGGAGTAACTTTTATCACTTTTTTCATCTAGTAGGTTCCTGTCAAGAAGGATCGTTACTAGCTCGAAAAATAGCAGATTTAATAATTCCTATATACGTATACCTAAAACTTACATCACTCCCGTTAGTAGTTTCAAAATATCCTAACTCTATGTTCAGGAAAATAATAGGTGGATTGCTCATACAATTAATATCTTTCGAATTTTTAGAATCAAAATACATTATTTTAATAATATTCGCATTTTTAATAGTTTTCTCATTTCATGTATTGTATTACTATTTCCACCATGATCAACTAATGATTCGACACGTTGGATCCACAATCAATTTTGTATTAGAAGCGATTTCTCCAATCCTTGTAAATATTACATCTTCGAATATCCATCTCACGGCAAATAGTATTATAGACGGCAGATCAAGATATTTTATTCTCGCGTTAGCAATTGCATGTTATTTTATTTCAACTTTTTATTGCTTTTTAGGAACTTTATTCCGATCAAGTGAACCGTCTAAAGACTCAATAAGTCATGCTTTTATTAAACACACAGATTATTTTTGGTTAATTCAACTTCCTTGCATTGTACAACAACTTTGGATAATTGATAAGTTATATGACTTCGGTATTTACATAATTCTTACAGTTTCATTGACAGTTTGTGTTTTAATTCTCAGATGGAATTCAACAATACCTTTTATTACAGCAACAAGCAATATATTCGCTATTAAAGTCTTTGGAACATCTCTTTTAACAATTATTGCCCTTTATTTTGCAGTTAGTGGCGCATTATCAGAATTTGCTTCTTTAATATTGGTCACAGCCTTTATTGTCATATTCTGTACATTCGGAGCAAAGAAACTCTTCAATTTTTACTGTACCTTGATTCGAAAAAGGTCAAGATTTAATCCAAAAAATTTAATTGACTTGGATAACTACATTATCCTTCCACATTTATCACATGCATTGTTTATACAGTTAATACATTACTTAATTGTTATAAATTTTAAGGAAATTAACATTTTATTAGTTGCTGCTATAGATTCTGAACGAGATCCAGAGCTAACACTTGAATGCGCTAAGTTATTGATGATACATTCTATTATTCCTCACAGAGTTCGAGAAATGTTGTTAGATTTCGCTATCAAAAGCGTATCTTTCCTTTCTAGGCCTACTTTGTGCGAAATTCAGTATAAAATGGATAAATTCAAGAACACTGATGAAGATATTGGTGATTGCTTACAAGTTTTGGACGATGCAAAACAAAAGGCTAAAATTGCCCTTTATGCTTTTGTGAACTCTTTAGTCGATTCTTCACAAAATAAGCAAAAGTATATAAATTCAATAAATTATGCGCTGCAGTCGCATGAATACTGCAAAATGGCTGAGTACGCAATAGAAGGAAACCCAATGAGCTGTGAAATCATTACAAATTATTATGATTATTTAATTCACTGCACAGGTGACTTCAAGAGGAGTAATGAACTATTCAACATATCGAATAGGATCCATAACTCATTTATAAACATATCTGGAAACACTCATCCATTTGTAGACAATCAATCAAAATTTAATATACAAAGTGAAGCAGATATCGAGCAGAACATAACTCACCAAAAAGCTTTAGACATAATAGTTAATTATCCACAGGTAATTTTCTTAACTTTCGCAACATTATTGGGAATTATGTTAATTTTTCCTGCTTATACGATAGAATGGTTTTTAAACAGTTTCACGTTCAATCCTGAGATTTATTTCAGCAGAAACCACTCTCCAGTACAATTTATAACCACATTTTGCAGTACATTACTCGAATTAGCTTTTGCGAAGTTCGGAAGAGTACTTCCAAACACAGTTAATCGGTTATCGTTAGAGCCAATTGCTATTTCAACGCTCAGACAGTATTTAAATTCAATAAAATGTCCAACAGACAACCTACCAATATTTAGCGGGATAGGACAAGATGCAGTAGACTTTCCTGAGAATTTCTACAGTATTTTGACCAACCAAGTCGAATATTATGAAGATAATTTATCAAATATCAGAATTATGGAAGAAACTCAAACAGAACTCAACAAAATGTATGGTATTTTTGATAAATTGATTGAAAGATATTTCATTACTTCTCAAAAAACAAATGATATCGTGAATTTCAAGTCAACAACGATATGTTTCGCGACTACGATTGTTTTAGCTATAATTCTTGCTGTTGTTACGCTTATTGTATACACGAGGTATATATTTACCATAATAAATGTCATGGAATCGATTGAAATGACGACATTAGAAGAATTTCGTTCGAAATTGTTTCTTTCCATCAACCAGAACAAGACGAATATTGAAGGAGACCAAGAAATAGATAACGACGGTGCTCTAGAACTTGAAGAAATCGAGACAAACGAAGTAAATCACTTTGGACAAGTAGATTACACTGATTTACTTGAACATAGTACGAATGCTCCATTATCTTTGAGTGTTTTTGATGCCGCTCGTCCGAAAACATTGATTTTTTATATTTTTATGCTGATAATTTTCAGATATCTCCTTTGTCCATTGACTTATTTGATTTATAAGTCGACAAAAAGCAATTACGTTGAAGAACAAATTGCTACACAGAACGAGATTAATTATATCTCTAATTTACTCCTTCAATTTCATATATTGATTGTAAACATGACAGGAACATCAATGTTTTCTCCGAAAGGAATTAAGATCAACCCTGAATATGACAAGGATATGAACGCGATAATAGAAGAATGGAACCAGTTTACCACTCGTTATACGGAGTTACCACATATGTATAACATTAATTTTACTTTTATCAAATTTTACAAAATTTATCCATTTATGACGAAACTTTATAAGCAATCTTCGTCGTTTTCGGAGTCTAATGCTATGTATGACGAGAGTTTGTTCTGGTTCGGTACTTTTCTTGTTATATTTTTATATATTTGTGCAATTGCAAGATTTTCTATGGTTCAGAAATACGTTCAAGAGTCAATTCGAAGACTTATATTAATTTTGCACTCAAAGTACTCTGCTTCTATATTAATTTTGATGAATGATCTTGCATTAGAATCTGGGAACCACAGTTTCGATTTTGATGAGATTTCTGAGCAGATTGTGAAACAATTAAGGGACCCTGTCATCTTTTTCAACGCAGATCTCATTGTAACAGGTGTAAATCAACAAGCAACTGCTCAATTAAACTTATCTGATTATTTATACCATTTAGAGACTATTCTACCAATTCCTGACAACAAAGACCTGTTCAAATACCTCTTTAATATACGTCTTCCTTATGGAGTAAGAGCTAGGAGATGTTTTGATTTTATTGTTCAGACAAAAGAAGGAAAGAAGCCATTTTCAGGTTGTTTAATACCAATAACTAAGGATAATACCATCGAATACGCAATAACGATGCGAGATCGTTCAGATATAATTGAAATGAAGAAAGACATGGACTTCTTAAAGATGTTGGTGCAGAGACAACTTAAGCGGCTCATTCCTTTACCTGTTTTCGACATGATGGTCGATGACAACCTTCAGCAAGTTTTTTCATCAGATGAATCAGCTGTTTTATGCGTCAGATTGAACAAAGTCAACAATAAAATACCTGATGAGAACTCCTACATACTAGATGAGTCCGATATTACGCAAATGGCGCTTTCTATTTTCGATAAATTAGTTTTGAAGTACACAACGATCACAAAACTAAGATCTTTTAATGGAAACTTCATTTTCGTGTCCTCTTTGTTCACGAAACAGTCAGTTGAAGTTTCATTAAAAAATCTTTTAGATTTAGTCACAGATTTCGCAATAGAAATCCACAAAAATCTCGATTACGAGTACTTGTTCAGCGCATCAATCAATTGCGGTGGACAAATCTTTGGATCTTTGAGTGGAATCACGAGAACTTTGTTTGACGTCTGGGGAGACTCGATGATCAACTGTTTCGACTGTTTGGACTTGGTTCCTCCTGGAAAAATACTTTTCCTCGAAAACGCGTACGAAAAATTTTCAAATAAGAATGATTTGAGTTTGTACGTTGTACAGAGAGAATTACCTTACAAAGTGTATGTCACTAACTCATACATCGGTATGAACTTCGATTATAATCTATAGATTGTTTTATATATGTTATTTTTTGTGTTTTGTTTATTATTTTTGATATAAAATACTTATTTTATAGAGTTTAAATAAATTCTCTCAAGTTTCTTGTGGATTTAAGCGCACACTTAATATTTTGATAATATCCATGAAAAAGTGCCTCATATAAGGTAAAATTTACAAGAAAAGTTCAGTCTAAGAGGTAAATAATATTGAATAATAATATCGGTAACTTCTCAAACTCGGAATAATTTGTTTCTTGTTCAGGAAATATAAAAATCAAACTGTTTTGATTCAATCATTTTAAGGCGTCTGGACGCCCTTAAATTCTTTTTGAGATGAAAACAAAAATGCAAATATAATGGATATTTTTGCTACATTTATTGAAGTTGAGTCTATCTGCATAGCAATTGGCTGTTGAAAAATGAGAAAGATAATTAGTAAATTCATTTGTAATGTTATTCAAAAAATTGAACGATCCAGCTGGATATTCATCAAAAAAAACACTCGTCAAATGTAATTTGACCCCAAAAATACCTACTAGGTGCATTATTTATAAAGCTACTATGTTTGATATAAACTATACCATGATTAATACCTATAATGGTTGAATTTTTATTATTGAGGAAATTACAATTTTGAAATTCAAAAGTTTGTGGAGAACCACTGAAATACATTTTATTATGATATGAATTCGCAGATGTGGTGTTAGAAAAAGTGGAAAATGAACTGCTCGATTCATATGAATAAGAAATAATGTAAAGAAAATCATCGTAATATATTGTGGAAAATGAATTATTGACTGATTTAATTTTGATTAGGCCATAGGTTAAATAAAGATTTCCGTATCCTTTATTACTTTCATCTCCACTTCGACTAATAGAAGAATCATAAATAAAGTTTTTTATGTTACTACTTACTTCAATGTAACAGTAAACACCTTCTGTATATTGTGAGTTTACTTTAGAAGCGTAGCCACAAACTCTGTCTTGAACAAATTCGCCTGCACGTGAATAGAAAATATAGCCACCTTTCCCATCATTACTGCAATTGTCAAAAACTGTTGTATCAATAAGGAATTTGATTGTATCATTATCTGTTCTCATGTAAATTGATCCGTTTGTATTTACATGATCGAAAAAACATAATGAGATATAATAGCTATATTGAGATGCATTAAGTTTGGTATTGTTAATATATTTTTCATCTGGTTCAGAATTTGGATAAAATTTATTCCAATCTTCGTGAAATTTCCTTCTTTTTGCAATTATAAACAGGCATTTATAAAATATTTAATGTTATTTATTTATAATACATATGAAATAGTTTTTACCCCCTAAAAAAGGGAGTTTTACTATTCCATAAATATTTACAGGTGAAATTACGCCTGTATGGATTTTCAGTATTAAGGATGCCCTTACATTCCATAAAAATACTTGAAATATATGATTATTATTGTAGTAAAACTTTGGGGCTCTAGATCGCTTTCTATGTCGAGTTGAATGAGTTTTAAATTTTCAAAGAAATTCTGAAGAGTATTCAAAAGTGTAAAAATTTAAAAATAGAATAATATTTCCCCTTATTTCTACTAAAATAAACTTGAGTTGCAAGTAAATATTATTATTTCACAATAATTATGAAATTTTCTCTACTTACACTAGAATACGCAGCACTTTTTTGGATTGCCGTTTACAATTTCCAAACAAAGCAAGATATGGGACGCAGCAATGTCTTTTTTTAACTATGTTGTTCGACCTAGTTTAGGTACCATATCGTAAAGCTGTGTACCAAAGATCCAGAGATTTTTCCATGAAATGTTAGATCAATATGCAATCATACTTATATTTCTAAAATAATCGAGTTAATACCAATGAATTCATGTTAAATTATAAAATATTGTATTTCATTGGTGAAAAATTAATATATTAATATATTTGATTGATCAAATTTTAAAAACTCATCGGAAAAAAAAACAGGATGAAACTCATATTATATGCTATATACACATTTCAAATATGCAAAAAAACATGATGGTAAGTCTGTCGCGTTTTTAGTAGTAGGATAGGATGGGTTGTGTGACTTTTTTTGTAAACGTAAGAATTCATACAATATCGAGCGATTTTATATCATTTTTTTAACATTAATTTTAAAATAATTTATTTTTTTATTCTTACATAAATGACCCAACAAGTAAAACCAGATAAAATAGATTATCGAATTTTAGAGGATGGTGTTCCTGTTTATATTCAAAGATTTAAAGGGAAGTAATATTATAGAATTGTTAATCCTGAATACATAAAACATATATTTAAAAAGGAAGACTGTGAATTATTAAACGTTAATGAATATGAAAATGCTAAATCAAAACTGAGATATAAATATATTGGAAGTGATGAAAGGTGTAAAGATAAAGATAAAGTTTATTCAGTTTCATATAATGAATGGAAAACCAATAAGATAAGAAAACATTTAGGAGATTATGGGAAATGTTCTGAATTCTTTAAATCTAGTATGTATGAGAGAGTAAAAGAAATTAGAAATAATTATTTTCATGAATAAAAGATTCACTACCATAATGAAATAAACGAGTAAAAAATAAACTTTAAAAATTCATGTCTCACATTTTTGAATAATTTATTTTTAATTCGTATGAAATGAGCGTCAAAACTAACAACGTTAAAAAATTAGGATTCACAAACGAGGAAATAAAGGATATATTAGATGAGATGTGTTATGAAGTTAGTAAATATTATTTAAGAAATTGTCAAAAATTCGCGGAGTTATTAAATGATTTAGATTATGATGGAAAAATGAATAAAGATGATGTTATAAATTTCTTATATCCCACATCTGAAGAAGAAAAACCTAAAGAACCTGATGTTTTCCCTGAATATTATGAAGAACGGATTAAAGATGATGATGAATACAATGAAATTGAAAAACTGGAAAAAATAAGAGATGAAATAGATGAAAAAATTAAGGAATTAAGAGAAGTTGAAAAATATAATGAAAATGAAGTAGAGGGTTTAATGAATATCCCAGCTTCAGAATCAGCAGTTCAGAAATCTCATGAAGAAAGATATAAAAATTATGTCTCAGAATCAACACAAAATTTATTAGATGGCGAAATAGATGAAACACTTTCAGAAGAAGGTACTAAATTTATTCGTAAACATAAGTTACAATTTATTGATAATGAAAAATACCCTTGTATCTTACTTTCACCCCCTCTCGATTCTGAGAAATTCAAAAAAGCTCTTAAAAACGTGACATATGCAACTAATACGATTAAGAAAGAAGATCATGATCTTTACACAAATTATTATTTAAATAAATGCACAGGTGTTGATAAAGTTTTTGATTTATTAGATAAAATATCAAAAGAAACCATTGGAACATATAAAATTTTGTGTGATTGTGGTTTCATTATTGAAGATACCAATAATGTTTCATATGAAAGAACAGCACCGAAGGAAGACGAAGTTGAAAGGTCTATACCATTCGTTATTAAGAATATAAAAGATATGAAAACTTATAAACATTATATTTATTCATTTATTTCAGAAAAAATGGAAGCAACCCATAAAACATCTTCTCATCATTTTATAGCTATTCATACATTCCTTTTCAAAGTTGTGAAATTAAATAAGACAGGAATTAGATTTAATGTATCCGGGTACGCATTCTTGAGTAAATTAAAATGTATTCGTCACGTCGCAGATGATAAAAATTTATGTGTTCTTAATTCATTTTATGGGCTTTAAAAAATAAACTTTATTTTTATTTATTTTTTAATTTTTTATTCTTACATAAATGAACAAAAACGGAACCGCTAAAATGAATGATAATCAAATTAGAGCAGAAGGTAGAAGGTTATTTTAACGCTTCTATAACATTCCTGATGGTGTTAATCCTAAAACTCGTAGAAGTTATTTAAATGAAGCAATAGATTCATATGAAGGGTTTGACATTTCATCAGAAAGTGAGAGATTAGCGAGAATGTTAAATGTTAATATTGATTTCTATTATTGTGATCCTCAACCAGAAGACGTGGACATAAATAAGGTAGACTTTCCATTAGTGGAATCAATAATGATAGATCCAGAATTTGAAACAGTAAATATTTTATTAACACAGAGTCCATGTGGAAAACTTCACGCTGACAGAATAACAGACGTTGAAGCACTCACCGGCTATAAAGTTTGTCCATATTGTAAAGAAGAAGTTTATTCTATCCGTGATGATCCAGAAAGGAAAAACCAAAGAAGATTTTTAAAGCATTGTGAGAAATGTAAAGAAAATAATGGAAGATTAATTCAAGACGTTCAGTTGCAAAAGACACAGCAACCATATGCACCACATATTACGAAACAGAAGATATATCAGTGGTTATTAGCTCATAATTTGCAGGAATATTATCAACCGACAAGATATTATATTACTTTTGACTTCGAAACATTAGAGACTAAAGAAGAATTACAACTTTCTGAGTGTGCAACTTTGAATGCTTACTTAAAACCATTCATGGTATCATCAACGGTTAAATTAAACGATAAAACATATACGAGGAATTTTTGCTTAACTTCGAGTGATTCTTTTATTTCTGATTGGATTGAGTTTTTATTTTCAACCTGTTCATTAGTTGCTAAATCAAATATTGAACAATATGAAGAATTAATGAAGTCGCAAACGGACTCTTTGAGTCCTGAAGGTCTTTCAGACCAAACGGCGGGACTTTGTCCCATACATTAAATGAAAAACAGAAGGAAGCATTTAAAGAACTTCTAGATGAGGAATTCAATAAAGTGAATATCATAGGTTTTAATTCGGGAAAGTTTGATTTAAATTTAATTCTTCGTGATTTAAATACTGCAAAATGGAAAATAAAATCAATGCTGGGTTCATCTTCACAATTTAAGCAAATCATTGTAAAGAAAACAAACGCTCCATATGAATTGAGATTTATTGACATCAGAAATTATATAGCGGGTGGGACATTAGACCAATTCACTCAAGATTTCGGAAACAATAAATCACGTGTTAAATCCTTTTTCCCTTATCAATTTATCACATGGGAGAATTACGAAGAAGAATTATATAAAGAGGAACCATTCACTCAAGATTCATTTTATTCAGCATTAACTCAAGAAACTATATCAGATAGTGATTATCAAATATATCTCAATGATGCTAAAATTTTTAAGAATAGATTAGAATATTTTATTCATTATTGCAATAAAGATGTTGAAATTATGATCGACCCAATCGATAAAATTATTGAAGAAACATTTGTTTATAAAATTGATATGCTTCATAATCTTTCTTTATCATCGAATGCTTCAATGATTCGTTACGCTTTAGCATATAAAGACTTTAATCCTAATGAAAAATATCCTGAGGAAGAGATAGAATCGAGTTTTGAATTAACGAAAAAGTATTGGAAATATAAAATTGAATCATATAAGAAACAAGATGAAAAAGCAGAAAGGGATACTAAAAATAATGTTTCAATGGATGATTTTCAATACTATCACGATTTAATCCTTTCATCTAAATGCAAAATGTGTGGTAAAGCGTTTACATATGCTAATAAACCAACATTAGATAGAATAGATAATGAAAAACCACATACTAAAGAAAATTGTCAGTTAATGTGTTGTTATTGCAATGTCGTAAAATCAAATAAAGATGAAGATGTTCAACGTTTAAGAATCAATTTAAGAAATTATGCATTAAAAAATAATTTACCAATGACTTTAGATTCAGTTGAAGCTTATCACATTCTCCGTAATGGAATTACTGGTGGTTTATCAAATGTTCAACATAGAGTAAATCTTAAAGGAATCACGCACATTAATAAACTTTCATATAATCCAGAAACTAAAACTGTATCAAATGAGGACACCACCAACATTATGACTCATTTCGTTGGAGTTGACTTTAATTCATTATATCCTTCATCATTTTCATCTAATCCTCATGATTTCATTCAAAATACTGACCATAAAATGTATATGCCGGGAAGATTGAATGGTGTTATCATTTGTGATACAGCAACAAAGAAAGCAAAAGCACTGGGAATAATTAAGAAGAAAAATACTTTATTCGTTGCTGAAGTAAAGGGTCACATTGATGAAAAATACATTAATGATTACATAAACTTTTTACCGATAATAAGAAACTTAGATATTATCACAGATGAAAAAACAATTGGTAGTTTTATGTATAATTACATGAAATCAAACAATCTACCAGTTGACCAGAAACAGAGGAAATTAACTCAATTAGCATCAACACACAACCAATATCAACCATTTTCTTCTTATTATCTTTGGTATCTAATAGACAGATTTCATTTTATCATCGATGATATTCAATCAATTTTAACATTTACTAAAAAAACTTGTTTTAATGAATTTGCGAACAAATTTATGAACGAAAGACAAAAGGCTGAATTAGAAGGAAATAAAGGAAAAAGTTTATTTTGTAAGATTTCGCTTAATGGATCATATGGTTACGATGCAATGAATACACAAAATTACGCAAAGACTAAAATAATGAATGCACAGAAGTCACGCGTTGCATGTATGTCAAATAAGTTTAAAAACATAAGAGAAATAGGAGAGGATACATATCAAGTGATGCTTAAAGATAGATTTTATAGATGTGATACATGTTTACAAGAGGCATTTTTTACTTTAGATAACGCAAAATACTGGTATTTGGTTTTCATTTATGATTTTATGTATAAATGCATGGATGTTAATCGTTTTCATTTCATTGAAGGTGATACTGATTCATCTTATTGGGCAATCGCTGGCGATCCAAGTCTTCCTAACACTCAAGCATTTCAGGCGATTGTTACCGATAAAAAATTTTATGATAAAAACATTTTCAAATTCGCACCATTTGATTTCTTCTGTTTTGATGAGAAATTTAAACCTAAATTAAAGAATAAAGCTGAAGAAAAAGCACATGAGAAAAAATTATTGGGTTTAGCAATTGAGAAACAAGGTGATAACATGGTTGCTTTATGTCCTAAGTGTTATACATCATTCAACGGTTCAATTGATGGAAGTGATTTTAAAAAGATTGCACAAAAAATGAAGGGTGTTAGTTTAAGACAAAATAAGCAATTAACACCTAAAAAATATTTGGATATAATAAATGATAAAGTGATATTTGATGGTCAAAATATTAATTTACAACTTAAAAACGGGTCAATGACTCGCTTAACAATCGGTAAGACTGCATTAACAGGAGCACACACTAAGGTTGTATGTTGTGAAAATGGATGTTGTATGCCATTTATTTAATACAATTTAAAATTTTATTTTTAATGAAATGCCACAGAAGAGACAAAAGGAACCAAATCGATTTATACCAAATGGTTTTAACTTTCAGATTCCAAATAATCAACCACAACGAATTTTTTAAATCCCATCACAGCATCAACAGCAACAACAACCGCCACCATTTGATACCGTTTTAGAAGAAGGAACCGTTAATGATGGGATTCAATATGTAAATAATGGTTTTGATACTATGATTCAAAGAGGTGGGCACCCTTAAAACATTGATTTTATTTTTATATAAATGGATAACGTAGATTTAAAAATTTTAATTGCTGATTTAGTATTTAATCAAAATTTTCTTAGTTATTATGAATTAAAATCATATCTCCAAAAATATAATAATATAACGGGTGATGATATGGAATATTATTATCCATATTATAAAAATGAAATTTTGAAATATCATAATAAAATAATTTCTGAAATTAAAGACAAAATTAAAAATAATGAATATACAAAGGGAAAAACTAAATCACAACTTAAACAGTTGAAAGATTTCAAAAATAAAGTATTAACAGAAGAAGATATTGATGAATTATATAATTTATATAATCCTGAGCCACAAAAACCAAAGCCGAGGTCTAAAGTAGCAAATGTTCAACAGCTAAAGGAACAAAACGCCCAGGTCCTTCAGACCATAAATGATGCACAAGCTTTAATTTATAATTCATTAGTTAAACCATATTCAGCCCGACTTTTAAATGAAGATCAACTTTTGGAATTCATCCTTCAACATAAACTCGAAGCGGGAAAGTATATCAAACCTTTATATACAGCATATTTAAAACAAATGAATAGAATACATCCAGAATTAATGAAGGGGGGAATGAATTCCAAAACTTCATCATCCAAAATCAAAGCAGATAAAATTAAACCACTTGCAATACCAAAACCTCCAACGACAGTACCTCCTCCTTCAGTTAATCCTTCATCATTCACTTTATTATATCCATTTCAAACATTAAAGAAGCAAAAAGATTTTAAAAAGGATTTCAAGATATTAAATAAACCAATTGACCCGAAAATTCAACCGTTAAAGGAAAAATTTAGTCGCCCTTCATTTGCTCCATATCCATATTCATACGAAATCGATCATTTAGAATATTCAAAAGGAAACGTTACTTATTTATTTGCCATTAACATTAACACTAGATATTTATATTGCATTCCAGTGAAAGGGAAAACAGAACAGGAAACAAGAAGAGCTATTCAATACTTACTAGATCATGAAAGAGTAGATAATATAAGGGGTGATGGTGATAAAGGATTTCAGGCAACTATGACTCATTATTTCCCACAAATTAATTTTTTCTTTTCATCCTCTCCATATACGTTTCATAATAAAATAGTTGATGCGGTAATGAGAACTCTTAGAGATGCGTTAGGGGTTAACGGTCAGATATACTGGGATGGAAATCATGACTCCATCATACAGCAGTTAGTATATTATTATAATAATACATGGCATAGAACTATAAACATGAAACCAGTGGAAATGAAAAATGATATTTCAAAAGAATGGGAATATATTAGAAAGCAAATGGAAAGGTTAAATGATGTTAAACGTGAACAAATTAATTCGGGGCTCATGAATTTTAAACAAGGGGATAAAGTTTTGATTCATCTCGATTATGGAAAAACTAATAAATCAATGACAAAAAGAAGACGAAGATTTGACACAATAGCTGAATTTGTTAGATATATTAACGGCAATGCATTAGTTGAAGTTGACAATAAATTAATAGAAATTCCGATTTATTTTATTACTCCATTATATTTAAATAATATTTAATTTTTTTATTTCGTAAGAAATGAGTGACAACAAAGCAGCCAAGAGTCCTGATTTAATTAAGATTCAGAGTCCAGACGATGAATATAAAAAGAAACTAAACAGAATTAAATCAAAAATATGCTATTACAAAAAGAAGTCGCAATGCGGTGGGGTTGATGCCCATAAAACTAAAGTAATTGAAAACGATAAAGAGAAGAAGGAAATAATTGAAAAGTTAGAAACTTACCGTTCAATCCTTAAACTGAGTGAAGCAAAAATAAAAGAATTTAATAGAATAAATAAATTGATTGGAAGAGATGAATTTAATAAAGATGAATTTTTAAACTCTATCCAAATTTAATTTTTATTCCTCTTCGACAACGTCTCTTCGAGACGCCGAACCCTTCTGGGTTCTTCTTTCCATCATTACTGCATAACCACATTTTCTCAGTTTTAGTGGTTTGTTATTTTTAGCAAGTTCTCGCATCATTTTTATCGTTTCCTCCCTTGTTATGATTCGTGGTAAATTTTGAGCTTGTGGGGTATTCATTTATATAAAAATAAAATTTTGTTATCAGTTATTTTATCATCATTTTATTAAGTTCATCTTTAGTTAATTTGAATGATAAGAAAATTTATTTTTGAATAACTGAAGGTGTCACTACGTCACCATGTCACCAGGTTAATTAACTTCTCTTAAAAATGATGACAACATGACATTTTGACAACAGGTACGAAAGGAGGAAGGCATTTATGAATTATTTTTGAATAACTGAAGGTGTCACTACGTCACCATGTCACCAGGTTAATTAACTTCTTTTAAAAATGATGACAACATGACATTTTGACAACAGTCCTGGAAATATATTTTATCGTTAATGATTTCGTAAATGTTTTCATTAATGATTTCGTTAATGTTTTCAGTGTCACTACGTCACCATGTCACCAGGTTAATTAACTTCTCTGAAAAAATGAGACAACATGACATTTTGACAACACAGCAGGATTAATGCAAAAATAAATTCCAATCATACTTTATAAAGCTTCATTTACAGGTATTTCATCGTCAGTAAATGAATCCTCATTATCGTTTGGGTCAACCTGTTTATATAATCCTTTCATTTCTTCTTTCAAAACATAACACCATGTTTGTTTACCATCTATTCTTCTCTGTTTCCTTTCACATTTATCTTTAATGCTCATTTGAAAGTTTTTGTCTTTCATGTCTGATGGTTTGCAGAATAGAGCATTTTTACATGTCATACCTGCACACAATTCATCATAATGTGTATTTATCCATTCATCTAAAGGATTTATTGATAATTCAATTAAATCTTGTTTGGCTTCAGTCATCGGCATGATTCGTACGTTAAATGATGAAAGGTCATATTGCATAAAATACGTCAGTAAATTATCATAAAATTCCTTAGTGCATGAATCCATTAAATTCTTGAAGTAATCAAATTGACCCTTGAATTTACCATTAACTCTTAAAACTACGTATCTTCTGTCTCCAACTTCAATTTTGACAGGGTAGATGTTATTAGTTACCAAAATGAAGTTTGCAACATTCTGAGCTGTTCTTCTGGGTTGATTCTTTTCATTAATTCTAATCTCATTATCCGTAATAATTGATTTCAAAGCGTTGAAGTTTGCGAGTCTATCTTCACCTACATTCTTGAGTTCATTAAGTACAAGAAACATTTTATTCTCAACTACTGAATTGAAATTACCCGTTAGCTCACTTATTTCAGTGATGTTTTTACATGAATAACCAGCGAGGAGTTCAGAAATAATGTCTGTAAATCTGTTTTTACCTGTTCCCTGAAGTCCTTTCAAAATAATTGCTGTTTCATTCTTGATTCCAGGATGTTGAATCATTGATGCAATCCAGCCGAGAAGGTATTTATACACTTCATCATTATTATCACAAATGGCTTCTTTAATGAAATCCATAAACATCTCAATTTTTGAGTAATCAGGCTTTTCGAGAACGTTGTATTTATAACCTTGAAACGTTGAGAAAACATCTGGAGAATCAGATTTAAAGCAAACACCCTTAACGGTTAATGAAGATAATTGATTTAGTAGTACGTCCCATGCTGTTATGGTTTTACCTTCTTCTTTAAATAATTTAATCATTTTGAGTGACTCTTTCATGTTTGATTGAAGAACGAATGATATTTGATTCATTCTGTCGTGGATATTATAGTCCTTTTGAATGAAATATTTATTTCCACAATCTACAAAACGGATTACACGTGATAAATCCTCAATTACTTCAGAACTGTTTTTATACTGATGATTTTCAGCCTTGCGTCTAATATCTGTTATCAAAAACGAGTCATCAAGTTTTATATCAAATGTTATTTTTGGCTTACGTAATAAAGGTAAAACGTATTCATCATAATATTCCTTTTGATATAGTTTTAGAATCTTCACTAAAACAAATGGAGAAGTCATTAAATGTGCATATCTACTACGTGCTTTTTCAAAATTACTTTTTGCATTTTCTGTTAAACTGCAGAAGTTATAAACGTTATCGTAGGCTTCATTAATTAAATGATTAGGTAACGAATTAATTGCTTGAAACAGTGTGAATAATGTTATTTCTTTTTCTAAATTCATGTTTCCACCGTCATTATGTACTTCAAAATCACTGATGCCATCAACTATGCTTTGAGCTAGTTTATCGTCAATGTTTACATCTTTGTTTTCATTCATGATAGTCTTTATTTCTTCATTCTTTTGTTCAACTCTTACATTAATATTCAAATCATTTAATATATCATTCGCTGTTCTAGTTAATGTTGAATCATAACTTCCACGAATGAATGAGTATGTTTTGATTGGTTCTGTTGCATTCTTGCGAACTCTTGAATCAGCCATAACTACTAAAGAACGCTTTGATTCATCCATTGAAGTCATTATGTCAATATCATAATCATTGCAGGAATAACATTTAATCATTCTGTTCGAAACTGAATAGAAGAAATTAGTGTTGCAATAAATGTGAAGACCTCCTGAAGCGGTTTTAACGATAACATCTTTATCCGAAAGTTTTGATAAAATATCTTTTCTAACTGTTTCTTTAAGTTCATCATTGTATGATTTATTGATATCAACATCTATAATCGTTAAATTTGAAATTTTATTTACTAATAAAGCCATACCAGTTTTCCTTCCTCTT